ATCTTTTGGAAAAGATGACAGCTGCATACAGCTTGGAAATGGAACGGAAGACCAAGCTTGCGACTACCTCCAAAACAAGAACAATAAAAGTAGCAGCTGTAAGTGAGGCGAGTGAGAAAGCTGAACAGGTGAGCTGCACACAGACAAAACTGAGCAAGTTAAGTCAAACACAAAAACGTGACACACTGATGGAAAAGGTGGACCAAGGTAACAAAGCCATATGTGAGGCTATTCAAAGTCTTACTGCTCAAATAGCAGGCCTCAGTCAGGTTCCCAGGTGCGAAAGTCAGCGAGTGAGTGAACAGCCCGGTGAGATATCGACCACCCGAGCAGCGAGCAGCACCCGATCGACGATGTCAGCAGTGCCAGATGTCAAACCAAGAGGGAAAATGTGGTCATTTTTAGAAATGTGGCAGCACAGATCACTGGGCAGCAGGCTGTCGTAAGAAAACAACTGCAGCTACTGTAAATAAAATTGAAAGCCCTGTCCACAGCAGAGACAATGATGACCAAGTGAACCAGTTTAGCCTGAAAGCGCCTCTGACTGGCAAACAACAGCAAGCTGCGAAACTGGTAGGAAAGAAATGTCTTGTTCTAGCCTCACTAGGTGGTGTGAGTACCATAGTACTATGGGACACAGGTTCTCAAATTTCAATTGTTGGATCGAACTGGAAAAGAGAATTCCTACCAGATGTTGAAGTGAGACCAGTGGAGGAGCTCCATGATGAAGATGAGCTTGATCTCTCAGCTGCCAATGGGACAGACATTCTTTATGAAGGGTGAATAGGGATTGAATTTACTCTGTCCAAAAACGCTGTTGCTGGAATGAGTGATAAACCAGTTATGGTGCCAATTCTGGTTGCTATTGATGACTTTGAACGCCCTATCTTTGGCTTCAATGTTGTTGAAGAACTAGTACAAAAAGCTGAACCTGAAGGCAGTATCAACCCAGATCACATGGTACAAAAGCTATGCTCAGCCCTTAAAGTGGGCCGCAAAAGCTGTCTTGTCCGTCCTGAGGAAAGACAAGACTGAAGGCAGTGCACACATTGCAAGGGTGGGCAGAAGACCTGTCAGAATCCCAAATAACAAAGTCATGAAAGTGGAATGTGGTCAACTGAATAAAAGAGTACTGAGTGGGTCACGTGGTGTTGGAGCCAAGTCAGGAGACACCCTGGCCAACAGGACTGATGATAAGAGAGCAGTTGATTCAGCTTCCAGAGGAAGACGATGAAACAATAACTGTGACAGTTGAAAACCTAACTGACAAAGACATTACACTGTGTGGTCGCTCAACACTAGGTTGGTTGTATGGTGTGTATGCAATTTATCCACTTGAGATGAAAACTGCAGAGGATAAGGAGCCACAATCAACTAACAGCAGTGCTGAACCTCAGCTAAAACAACAAAGTCATGATCCAGGAAATGAACCCTGGGACCCACCAGTGGACCTGAGTCACTTGACGGAGGATCAACAACAACAGGTAAAGCAGATGCTTCGAGAGGAGTGTGATGTTTTTGCAAAGGATGACTTGGACACAGGGTGTATTTCCAGATTTAAAGATGGACATTCAGCTAAAAGATGATATTCCTGTACAGAAATCATACAATGCAATCCCTCGACACCTCTACCAAGAAGTTAAAACTCACATACAGGACTTAATGAGTAGAGGATGGATCCAGAAATCTCACTCTTCATACTCCTCTCTGGTGGTTTGTGTGTGAAAGAAAGACGGGAGTCTTCGTTTGTGCATAGACTACAGACAGCTGAATGGAAAAACAGTACCCGACCGTCATCCGATCCCGAGGATACAAGAGATTCTGGAGAACCTCGGAGGCAATTCCTGGTTCACTGTGTTGGACCAAGGAAAAGCATATCATCAGGGCTTCATGAACGAGAAAAGCATTGCCTGCACAGCATTCATCACACCGTGGGGACTTCATGAGTGGGTTAGAATCCCATTCGGCCTGACAAACGCACCGGCTGCCTTTCAACGTTACATGGAAGGATGTTTGGGAGACCTGAGGGATGAAGTTTGTGTCCCTTACTTAGATGATGTGCTGGTGTTCAGTAGTGACTTTGAGCAGCACGTTCAAAACATAAGGCAAGTTTTGCAGCGACAAAAACAGTGTGGCATCAAGTTAAGACCAAAGAAATGTGATCTCGGCAGAGGGATACAAGATGAACCCAAAGGAAGTAGAAGCCGTTCAAGCCTTGAGACATGAGACACCAACCACTGTTCGAGAGGTGAGAAAGTTGATGGGTTTCCTTAGTTACTATAGACCCTATATACCAGACTTCCCAAGGACTGCTAAACCCCTTTTGAGTTGTTAGCGAAGCCAAAATCTGAGCAAAAGAGGGATCCAAGAACAAAAAAGCAGAGCTGTCAGTCTGCTCAGCTTGCTCCATCTCATCCAGTCAAGTAGATCTATCAAGACATTCTGAACAAACTAGTAACACAACTAACAAACCCACCTATCATGGCGTATCCAGACTTGGAAAAGCCCTTTGTACTTCATGTTGATGCCTCAGAAGAAGGCCTGTGAAGTTGTTATTAACTCTTTTAATTTTAGGTTTTGATATATGACATCATCGGCCTGCGTGCAGAGGTGACGTATAGAGTTGGGGTCGTGGTCAAGAGAGAATGCGCATGTATGCCGTTTTTGTGAGGACCCGATGCTTCTTAAGAGAGATAATCATAAAAAAAATACAGCACCGGGAAGAATAAAGTTGCAAAACGGAAGACAGAGTCCTGGTCTTTTCATAGGTGCAACACACTATAAATTCACATTAAAGAAGGAAAAACACTTTGAATTACCCAGTAAAACTAGAATTGAAACAAACTCCCATTTCTACACATTCCTTTAGATGTCTGTGTGGTTCATTGAATGCAACACCAAAGCAGCTAATTCAAGAAAGTTCTGTGACCCTTAAGGCGGATGCTGATTGGTTGCTAATTGCTTTCAGGGGGCTGAAACATTGTCAAAGATGCAGAGAGTCTTTCCCTGATAAATACAAGTAAAAACAGGACATTAATGTTGTATATATTTGTAGTTTAAAGAGGGCCTCATAAGAACAATGAGAGGGGTTTCAATTCACGGCTACCAAGCTCCTTAACTTACCCTCAGATTTAAATAATAATGGGGAAACAAGTCATCCACATTATTGTTCTCCTACTTGAATAATAAATCAACTGAATTCCTGTTGTGTTAACAAAGTTAATATTTTGAATATCTATATATGCAATATATTTGAATGAATATGAAATCCTGTTCCGCACTTTGTTGTTTTATTACATTTATAACTTCATTTTCGTGTTTCCTCACAAAAACAATAATCTGCTCACTTTGTGCCAATTCCTCTGCCTCAAACACAACGCCTTGCCTCTTTCCTGTCTCTTCCTCTGTTCACTTCCTTCATCAGCTTTGTGTTGCAATGAAGCGATTTAAAGCACAACTCAAGTTTAAATTCTATTTCAGCCTCAAACTGTTTGACATCAGGAGAGTCAGGTGTTTGAGAAAGAGGCTTGTTTTGAGTGACAAGGTAAGATGACAATTAAACAGGAGAGATCCAAAAACAACCAATGAGTGTGTTTATCTCACAACCATCCTGATCTCACTGGACAATAATGAAAAAAACTAAAACACTTTGAACGCTTTCTTTTGATAAAAGTCTTTAACAACTACAATTATCAAAACAACTATATTATTTTGTTTTTATAAACTAGAGTAAAGTGAAAATGGAAGTCTGTTTTGTTATCTGACAGGCTCAGATTGTTATTCTGTCTGACATAATTTCAGAAAGGACCCTACGGAGAGAAACATGTTAAAGAATAAGAAGATAAAGAAAAAGGTTGTGATCACCAGACTCCATTTTGACCTTGAATGGTTAGTTCTGATCCAAACAAAGAGCAAATGAACTCACCCTTGAGCTGTAGCACTAGCATTGTTTGAAAAGCTTTGGCACGGACCCATCCTCAAAATAACACAATCTAATACACAGTTACACACCGATCAGAGAAAGTCTGGTGTGAATGAAAGTCTTCATGATGTTTAGATTGACATCTCTCAGGGGCCTGAAACATCGTCAAAGACACTAAAGCTGTCCTGCCATGTCAAATAGATTTTAAAAAACCACACACGTCCTTATGATATGCTTGTGTTTAAATGTAGGCTATTGAAATAAAATATTCTAATCCTCCATCTTGTTATACATTGTATTATCATTTTAAGTACCTACTTATTTTATTTAAGGTTACTCAAAGGACACAATTAAGCACAATACAATCTTCCTTAATAAACTAATCAAAACTAGTGAATACGCCAAAGCAGATAGAGTAACGGCAGAGGGAGATAAACCTCTGTTTGCACATGCATATTATAACCACTGGAGGACGACAAAGACACTGCATCGTATATGGATTCTAAATGAACTGTGGTCATCGATACAACGCACAACATGATTAAAGTCACTCATGATGTTTCTATATGAAAGCAGAAATGACGTCATCACTCGTTCTCGCATCTCTATGTCTAGTTTTGGCTCGTGCATATTGCAGGTCTACAGCAGTGGGACACTGTTGTTGTGTTATGCAACCACAGTTCACTGTCTCTTTCCATGCAACCAGATGGGACTGTAATCCTCTTGAAAGCAGCCTGAGGGATGTCTGATCCTGCACTCGCAGCAAAGGCAGCATGATTTCAAAGTATTTTAGGGCTGATTTCTACACAGTACCATGTCCAATGGATAATCACCTGCAGCTCATGTGACGTAGGCCAACTTCAGCAATGCTGCGTCTGAACAGAAACACTTATATTATAGAAAATGTTGTTTTATATCACTAAACTATAAGACAAACTCAAAGTAAAACTATCAGAAGATTATCAAGAGACCATTACACTCTCACACTATTCCATCCTCTAGGGGGCGCGACGGAGCAGACTTCTCCTCTGGAAAGGGGGTGTCTACCTTGCAATCAGTATTGGACAGCTGCTCAGCGCTCCTCCTCAATCATCTTTAAAACCTGCTTGAAAACGCGGATAGGCACTCATTTACCTGCTGCTAATAACCGAGTAAACATGTTCTGCAGACGGGCATTGCAGAGGGTCGGGCCGCTGGCACGGAGGGCTTTCGAGCCAACATCCAGAACCGGTAGGTCGCGTTGTTGATTGTTGACACTTTAACAGTTTGGCACGCTTTGTTTTCAAATTAAAAGAGCAATTAAGTGAAAGTTGAGCTTTTTTCCCTGTCTCGGGCATATGCTTGCTCCCTTTGAATCAAATTGGGGTGTTTTCTGAATGACTAATGGACTTTAAATCTGTTCAAAGTGTAGCCTTTTAACTTGTAAAAATATGTTAACTAAATTTAAATTTCTACAAGAGAGGTTTCTTTTCATCAGCATAATCTATAATTTATTTGGAATATGTTTAAATCCGAAGAAAGATGCGTTTGAGTGCTTCCCATTGTATAGACAATCAGTGAGGAGGAGGTGTGTCCTGCTTTGGGAACACGCAGTTCTTGCAGAGTGGTTATGAAAGAGCGCATCACATACACGACACTAACTCGTGTCATTCCTCGTTTTTTAACTAAGCTGCATGATTTGCATTTGGTATTTAATATTAACGGGGGAGTTGGGATCATTTTGCAAAGACATGCCAAATTCAGAGCGGTTCACTGTGGTGGTTACACGTTGTCCTAGGACCTCTTTGAGGCTGACCACATGGCGATCAACCGTGCTCTGCAGAAGTTTGAGCCCTCTTGAATTCTGTTTTAAAAACGTGGCCTCACCTCCAACGAGTTAATATATATTAAACCTGTGGTAAGTTAAGATACATTTTGGTGATGCATATCTAATTAGTAGACCCCTTGTGGGGGTTTGCATGTAGTGTAGAGGGGGTTTGAGGCTCACTTGTATTTTCAGGATGATTTTTCTTTTCTAGATCATTTGGTGTCTAAACTTGTGGAATTCAGCCTGAGGGTGAACTGCTGCTTTAATTTCCTGTAAAAACAAACAAAAACAAAAAAACCTCTGGTAACACTCTGAATAGAAGTAGACTAGAGTCTCCCTGAAAGACAAGTCTCCTTTTTAGCAGACTGATAAAATGTGGCAGTGTTAGTCAGGGCCACACCAGTTCTTTCCTGGTTGCCCTGCAGGTCTGCATCCCTGCCCCCTTCTCATCTAGCTCAGTGAGCACATGGCTCTGACAGACAGTAGCAGAAGAGCACCTTCACCCAACTATATGTCCACACATGTGTCTGCTATCATAGCAGCCATCTTGCATGCTGTTGCCTGACATGCGTGTCCATTTTTACAGGCTTGTACCTCACTGCAGGGATTAACTGATTACTTGTATAAATAACCTGTACTTGGACTTGTCCTACGTAGTGCTGCTGTGTCATGGGTATTAGAGGACTTACTACTGCGTGTACTCAGCATCCACAACATTACAAGCTCAGTTTTGGTTTCCTCAGTGTGGCTTGACTAATTAATCACATATTTGGCCTGATCCAACAGCCAGCTTAGATCAATCTAATTTGGCTCCAAGGTAACTGAATTGACTGAAACCAACCCTTGAACTTGCCAAGTAACACTGTTTAAAATCTTATTAGTGTCATCAGTACATAAATCAAAATCTGAAAATGATGTATTTTGGTTTCACAGGGTTAACATGCCTGGCTGTAAAGTCACTACTTCAATTTCACTACTTCGCTTAAAACAGCAATGTGTCATTGTTCTTTGGATTGAACCAAAACACTTGAAGGTTGCTGCTTGTTGAACTTATTTTGTTCAATGCGATCAAACTAATCTAGATTGCCTTTATCCTGCCATTGTATCAAGCTAACTATCTGCTCGAGTCTGCATCAAAATGTATCTATATGTTAACATTTTAAACGATACTTTCCAAAAAGTCTTCGCCTAATGAAAGTCACTTCTGAATTAAGCCGTCATGATTTTGACCTAACTGAACAAAGGTATCTTTAAGTGAAGAAACTTTACTAAAAGGTAATGCTAAGTAGGCTAATGGTTTGCAAGTCCTAAATAGTTAACCTCCATAGAAAGTAGAATCCAAGAAACATGGCCTCCTAGGGTCATGCTTTGACTCCATGTATTGTGACCTTTGTAAAGGTCACCACACGGCCCTTGTGAAGTTAGATCAAGCTGCAGGTCCAGATGAAAGTCGTCTATCGGTTCCTTTAGGCAATCCCTTCCTTATTTACATTTAACACAAACAAGTTTACAGGGACTTTACATGTAACGCTCCTTGATATTTGGAAGTCAAGGTTTGCTACCTCATAAGATGTAACTAACATAAATGATCTTTGAAATGGGCAGGGCAGTCGGGAGATCATGACTTGCAACAACTTTTATTTTTTATGTTTCAGTGACAATTGATTTAAGAATGAGACCTGGTGGTCAGCTGTTTCCATTCAATTTGAAACATTTTTATGAATGGAAACTCATCCCAGTATCATGTTAACCTGTGACTGATTGAACAGGTGACACACTTTCATGTCTTCATATAGATACAAGCTGCCAGAGTAAAAGTCACAGGGGAGTTATGATTAGCTTAAACACACATGTAACAGGGGAAGGACAAAAGGGGGTGTGTGCTGTACATTGTGTTCTCTTGCTGCTTCAGATGGCCCACTTCGCTTGCTGAGTCAACCATGTACACACAGTGTAAATCATGCTAAAGATATCATATGTACTGTAAACCTGTGCATGCACACCATCCTTGTGGTGTGTGTGTGAGGTCTAAGTGGAAAGAGATTAGGCTGAGGCAGTGTTTGGGATGCAGGGCGTTTTATTTATGGCCTCCTCTGCATGCACCACTGGCAATCCTTTAAACACCAGCAAATCAGTTTGTGCAGAGTTTTTAATCAGCCAAACTCAACAACAGCATGATAGAAAGCATTTGATGGCTCATTAATGGTTCCTAACACATATGTTGAAGGACTAGTTCGTAGAAATTCAAGCCTACTTGCTTGTTGTTTTGGAGATCGAGTCCGTCAAGCAGGAAGTGCTTCAATGTTTGTTTGTGTGCTGGGTTTAGTGTAAGGACAGTTTGGTGTTTAGTTTGGCTGCTGCTAAATCTTTCCATCTCCTCTGCTACAAATGAGCAGAGCTGTCTTGTGTAACTGGATTAAGGGATGATGACACATTGACGCTATCAGAATGCACAGTCCGCCAAGTGGTTGCTGAAACAACATTTTAATTCTTAAACGAGCTGTCCTTTTGCCCTGACTTTCACTTATTATCAATGCTCACCCTGCATTCAAGGGATGGCTGAATAATTGGGGTGGGAACTAGTAGCCTACAGGGTGAAATTATGCAAAGGCTTTCTTGAGACAGGGAAAAAAACTTGGAGGAAGAAATTGTACACAATCTGTGGCGTTCAGGCTTGATGTCACATGATGTAAAAACATGGCTGACCTTAAGTAAAACATTTTGTTAATGCATACAAGTGTTTCCCTCATTAAGCATGAACTATTCCCCAAACCACTACAGCCACCTCCAACATTTGAACCCTTCCATGCTTCCAGTATAAAGTTCTCTTTTTTGTGTCTCTCTCCAGTTCCAGTGCGACACATGGCCTTTGGGATCCCCGGTGGCTCCACCAACATGGCATACTTTGTTCTGTGTGGAGGAGGCCTCACTGCTGCAGTCGTTTATGTGAGTACTTGTTAGAGATTTCTCCACTCCAGGTTAATGAAACACCAGTGCAAGGCCTGACCTCCACTTCAAAACCACAACAGTGGCTGCTTGTGTGATTTTTACATTGTGGTGTCTTGGCTAGTGTAAACTGTGAACCAGTTAACATGAAGGCTCAGGTCAGACACTGAGACACAAAGGAGGTTCTTTGTGTGTTCTACACACAGCTATTGTCCAGCCAGACTAAATGTGTACTGTCAGGCTCTTGGCAGCTTTGTTTTTTAATGTTAGGATAAGGTTGTATTTTGTAATACTGTTATCATGTGTGCTGCAATACAATAAGTGCATATCTGCTCTCTTTCCGTCAGGCCTACAAGACGGTCAATGGTGATAGTGAGCGTTATGAGGACAGACTGGCCAACATGGGCTCTGCAGCAAAGGGTCAGTAACACAAACAAGAAAGCACAAATGATGTTGCATTTTCAATCTTAAATCCACAGCTGGATTCTGATTAACTTGAAATAGCTGTCCTAAACAAAAATAGATTTTCTGCTGTTATTTGATATGCTCAGTGATGTGTTTAACATCTTAGTCTGGTATGTTGAGAATCTAAAACCTGTTGTTTCTGCACAATAATAATGTAGTCTGTTATGAGCTGATCATCACCAAATGATGTGTTAATTACAAAGTAAAGAGAACTCAAAGTTATCCAATTTCGTTCTGTGGGCATAAATAATTTGTGCATACACTTTTATTGTGGTTAAGTAAGCAGAAATCCTGAACTACTGAAATTTTACCCTAAAGCCAATATAATATAGCATCAAGATGCAAGTTGTCAAGATTTATGACATTTCTATTTTTGTTTCTCTTTTTTTTTTTTTTGTAGAGTTTAAAGAAATATAACTCTGCTAGTTGATTTTCTCCAGATTAGTTTGACATTATTTTGAGACTTAAGATTTTTTATTTTTTTTTTTTTGGGGGGGGGGGTGAAGAGATTGGATAGTAATAAACAAGGCTACCAGCAACCACATTATTTTGAATGAAATATTTTGATTTTGTTGTGAGTTATTCAAATAGTCAGTACAGTATTCAAAAAGATCTGAACGAGTGAAAGCAGACGCTCTTTCTTGCTTCACCACCCAAACATCCAACATGGTAGACTGATCTCTCTCAATGGCTTTATCTCTCCTGTCAGTTTTGATTTCTGTCAGCGAATTATTTGTCTATTCAGCCTGTTTGAGCCTGGTGCGATCATGGCCCTGCGCCCGCAGTATCTAACTACTTAGTAACGGGGATAAGCAGATGACTGCCATTTGTTCAGTTGTATACAAACCACCTGGAAGTTAAAGCTCAGCTCCATGGCGTACTACAGGTACCACCACACATTATGCTTGACCTTGTGATGATAAAGGGATTGCGGTCAAATATCGTGCCTTAATTAAAAGAAAGATAATAACTGTACACTTGAGTTTTCCTGAGCTGCACGAGTCAATGTGCTCAGATTTGTTTGACTTCTCTTTGTTTGCCTGTGAAGTTTAACTTGTTAGGGTCAGATTAATTTATCCCACAATGGAAGCTGTGAAACTCCGGTTTTTCCAAACACACTATGTGCAAATGTAAGCTGTTCTTCAATATTTCAAAAATTCAACCAGGTTGGAATAAAGAGCTTCACTAGTGTGCTCTTTATGGCACCGCAACAATGATACACTTTTTCCCAAAGTTCCACAATTCGGTATCAAAAAAAAACAACTAACTTTTGATCCATTTTCTAGAATACTTTACGAGCCATGCTTGTCACTGCAAAGCTGTTTAGGGGTAACTGCTAATGCTAACTAACATGCTCACTACAGGGAGAATATCACCATAGTGAATAGACTTAATTGTGTAGATGACAAAATGTAATCATGGTAGTCTTTGAATAAGGATGTTACCTTTGTGGTAGAAAGCATTGCAATCCATTGGAACCAGAACAGCCATGAGGGGCGCGTGCTCAACAACTGAGTTTAACCCGACAAGACAATTTGTTTTAAACCTGAAGTTTCAACGTCATGCTGGCCAGTGGAACAACCAACCTGCATGGCTTTTCCTTGAGCCACATTAAAGATGCAAGAACACAATGATTTACATGATCTTGTAAGTTTTCAAGAATTGAGACCTATTGAATTCATGAGTGTATTGCATAATGGTGCATTGAAATGAGATAATCTGTAAGGCTACATTTTAGTTTTGAATTCTGGCTTGAGCCATTAAACATGGACATCAATCATCACTTAAACTCCATAGTGATTATAAATATGTAAATGCAGCTGTTTTTTTTTTTTAATAGGGATGTGCTAATTGTCTAATCAATAATCAGCTAAATACTGCTGACTAATTCCCTTGTTGGTGTCTCTGTGTACTCTCAAGGTCTGTATAAAGGATTAAAACAGTTTAGTGAGACCCACAGCTTCAGTGAGGTTAGCAGTTATATTTCTGTCCTGAGGCTGACATTTAAGGATGAAGGATTATCCTTCACTTTGCTAATATTATGCTGCTTTACCCTTTGGCCCCTAAGACATCAGCTCCTGACCTTCAACAATAGAATTGTTGACAGTATTCTTGCCCATGGATTTACTTTGACGCCATGTTTCTTTGAATTTGTACCATCAGAAAAAGTTCTGTTTGACCTCATAGTCACCCTGACCCCATGACCCGTCACTGTGTATTAACTAATCAATCAATTCAATTTATATTTGTATAGCGTCAACTCATAACAAGTGTTATCTCAAGACATTTTACAAAAAGCAGGTAAAAGACCTTACTTATTGCTATGTTACAAAGATCCGGCCTATCCATCATGAGCACATTACCAAAGCAGCAAAAGTTACAGTGGTAAGAAAAAACTGTCTTATTAAAAGGCAGGAATCTTCGGCCGGCTCATGACGAAACAGACTTAACAGGTCTAGACTGCACTTATGTGTTCCTTAATTACACAAACCAGTTTAAAAGCCCATATAATTTTGTTCTCCATGCTTTGGATGTTTTATTGTTAACCAAATACTTACTCTTGCATTGGATAATCCACAATGAGCACATTTTTGTTGCCTGACACACAAGAACTGTTGATGTGGTTACATTGACCCACAAAACTCAGCTACATTTCTTAGTTTTAGTTTCTTTGACCACAACATCAAATAAAGAGACTGCATTTATTGATTGTGGTTTTCAACTTTCTTGTCTTGCAGCTCCAGAAGAAGCTGCTCCTGCACCAGTAGCCGCAGCAGTACCAGAAGTGACGGCTTCAGCAGCTGAACCCGCCCCAGTGGAGGAGGCACCACCATCCGCTGAAGTTGTTGCAGAGTCAGAACCCGCCCCTGCAGAACCCGTGGCAGAGACGGCTGCTGAACCTGTCGTTGAGGCCGTGGTGGAAGAAGCACCCGCCGTGGCCGCAGAGGTGGTGGTCGCTGAGGCTGAAGCTGAGCCAGCAGTCGCAGAGGGAGTGGTTGCAGTCTCAGAAGAAGCTGCAGCCCCTGAAGCTGCTCCTGCCGCTGAGGAAGTTGCTGCTACAGAGGAGACGCCAGCAGAGGCCCCTGCAGCTGAGAGCACTGGTACGGCACCAGTAGATGAAGCCCCTCCTGCTGAGGCAGAGACTGGCACTCCAGCCCTTGAGGCTGAGGCTGCCCCTGCTGCAGAGGTGGCTGCATAAAGCTGTGATAGCTAGCTAGTTTTCCTAGAAAAGGAGGGCTGGGGGTTAGCTGTGCTTTGTCCAATCTCCCTGAGCCCCAGAGAAAGGACTAGTGAACCCCCTTTTTTTTTCTTTTTTTTTGGATAGTGGGTAAAAAAACACACACTTGCAGAATAGTCGGGGGTTCATCAGTCTAGTTTTCTGGGGCCTTCCTGCCCTTACCTCACCCAAACCTTCTGTCCCAAACCACAACATTTGGCATTAGGCTGCCTGTGTAGATTCAGTTCAGAACACTTGAGTTTCTTTAGGGATTTTACAACCAGAACAAATCCAAATCATGGTTTGGCCGATGTAGCGTGTTGAACTAGGTGATTAAAGGGATAGAACCATGTTGACAAGTTATGTTCTTTAAAATGAAGTGCCCTTAAAACAGGTCAGCACTGCATTTCCTTCCTGTAAAAATGTCAGCAGGAGGAATGAATGCAGCTAATTTGATTGTTGACAATGTTCAGTCTCATCTGTTCAAATCTTTCACTGCTCAGAATTTGCTCACGTTCAGCTTGTATCTCATGAATCTTTCCATTTTTAGGTTAAGTTTGTTCTGCAAAAAAAATGGAGAAATGAACCTAATGTCATTGTGCTTCATTCAGTTTTAACTGTCTGTGTAAAGTTTGACCAAAATCCAGTTTGCTTCTGTTTTCCTGGCTGGAGATCTTGTCTAATTTCCTTGGCTCTAAATAACATCATATTTTGCACCTCTCCTCAGAGCTAGTCCAGTTTTATTTTTTCTTCCTCTCACACCATCAGATACTGTTATTTCAATGATTTGTCACTTCTCCACTTATACAGCAGTCTGTAGCCCAGCCTACTTCAAGGTGTTTTCGTTTGTGTTCAACTCACTTCTCATTGCTCTTTCCGCTTTACATGTAAGACTTAAATCTTTCAGGGAACTCTCTTCCGTTTCTGTTGTCAATATAATAATACAGTTAAGATTTCAAAGAATAAATATTACTGGATCGATATTAAGATGACTTTTCTCTTCATTTTTTGCTATTACATGTTGACTTGCTGCATGTATGGTCTCTTGTTCAGTGAATATCACCGGAACATTATTCTATTTTTAAGTTAACATGCATTTAAATATATTGCCAAGGGCTACTTGGTAGCATAGTTTTACTCTGCAACATTCTGATATGATCCACAGTAAGCATAGAAACAACTGTAGTGTAAATGTAGACACCCCCCACACCTGTAGAAATGCTCCCTCCTCCTGCTGAATCCCTGAGCCACCTTCATGCTTTAGAAGGCTGCCCTAAGGCCTCATTTAAATTCTACACCTCGGATTATTTTTGTGCGCTAAAAAAAAAAAAAAAATGTATCCGTCAAGTTGGTGGTACATTTTGTTATGAGCTTATGATGCAGTAAAGAAACTTGATACTGATCAATCATTCAAATAGTTCATAATGGAAGTCTTTGCTCTTACTAAACAAATGTCAACATCTGTGAAACAAAGTCTGTGTGAGGGCTAGACTCTGAACTTTTGCTCAGGAACAGTTATGTCCTTCACAAACCAAAACTTTGTAAGCAATGTAAGTTTTATGTATTTCTAGTTTCCATAGGTGAATGCTTCTGGAAGGATATCAAAACATTTCCATCCCATTGCCCTCAACAGGTTTCAGCCAAGTCACTGGTTTCTGTTTGGTCAGCTTTGAAGGTAAAGGTAGTGGAAGCTCAGTCCATGAAGCCTTGGTCTCAAGGGAGTGATTTAAAAAAAATACCTTACCTAGTGTGCTCCTGTTCATCATCAGGTTAGTTTGCTTTTGAGGGGGACACCCTTCATATTTTCTGTTTTGACATTAAAGGGACAATTTAAGACTCTGATGTTGACTTTAAGGGGAGAGGTCCTCACAATCAGTCACCTACCCTCACATAGGTGTCTGTCATTTGTTAGCTTGACTATATAGTATATATTGTCATGTTGTATAAGAGGGGAGAAAGCCCTTCAGGCACCACTCTTAAACTGTCAGATGGTAGTGACTGGTCCTGCTCGACAAGTCAAAGGAAAACGTGTTTTAATTCTGCAGGAAGTCAAGCACATGCATGAAGCTGAACTGTGTCCTTTCAAAGACTCTGGTGAATGTCGTTGTTAAACCACAGATTAGTTTTGGCCTCTGATTTGTCGTCTTAATTGTTAAAAGTGCAGTTTTAAGCAGTCGATCAGACAGATCAAGACTAATCCTAGATTACAATGCTTGTTTTAGGATGTTGTTGTTGCCTACCTGGATCAGTTGGCAGACAGGTTAATAAGACATTGTTACAGGTAATCCGAGGATGTTCAACAACAGGAAAGTGCCATGTGGATAAATCCTTTAATGTGTGGAGATTTGGTTTTTTTGGGTAGTGTCTGAAAAAGTAATTGTTTTTCTTGTGAAAAACATGACTTGTACCCTCACTTACTGACATCAAACCAATTTCAGCAGCAGAAGCATGACCTGGGCAGGTAGACTCCTGTAGAGCCTTTACTGAACCTGTGGTGAATGTAGAACATCCAGCGATAGACAACCTCTCCAGGTAAGTGTACAAAACTAACCATGTATGCACCAACAAATAATCCTTGTATGCTCTATGTTCTCTGTAAGACAACTGTAAAGAGAAACTACAGATTTTAAGAGAAAATCAGCTAATAATTTAATGATTATTTTGTGATGATTATGTCCATTAATGACAAGTTTTAAAAAAAAATTATAATGGCTTCTTTGGGGTATGGAAGGTGGACACATTCAAAAAATAATAATAATAAAAAAAATAAAATATCAATGAAAACTTTCCAGGGTGGAGTTTGATGCCTTCTCCTTTAACTCATCAGAACAAAACCCCAAACGTCCAGTGATTTCAAACACAGATGAGCCGCAATTCATCACATCTGGAACAATGAAAGGCATTTGTGTTTGATTACAAAATAGATTATTTTTTAATAGATGTTATATTATCTGTCTGTTAAAATCAACCTAAATTATTTCAGCACCAAAGAAAAGTTTTTTTGATGAGTAGGAGGACATTAGCGTCCAACACCTTTGAAGTATGATGCATGAAAAAATGTAACACTCCAATGAAGGTTCAGCTAATGCTACCTTCATGTAACCAAACGTTACAATCATTCCCCTAGATCAATGCTTCCCAAAGTGTGGGCCGCGGCCCCCTGGTGGGCCGTGTAGGTACTGCAGGAAAAGCCCTCCACCAAGTTTAAAAATAAAAGAAATATCCCAATAATGATGATTTACCATGAGTCAACCCATTCAGTGATTAGTAAGGCGTGTCATGACTATTCATGGACATGATGTTTAGTAAACATTGGTGTCTATCTTGCCATAATATCATGTTGTCATGTCCAATAATTTACCCTTACTGAAAGTTATAGATGTAGTCAAAACTTTAGTTTTATAACGGGCCCCAGAGTAATTTTGTATATCAAAGTGGGCCTCAGCAGTTTTAAGTTTGGGAAAGGCTGATATAGAGCTTAAGACACTGTTTTTAAAGCAATTTCACTGCACCTATGCTCAGTTAAACTGGCATGCATACATAAAGGTGCACTGTGGGATTTTGGCAGAGAAATGTGAAAGTTGAAGAAGTGTACAGCTTCTGTGGTATATGTTCGTAACTCGATGCACAAACTGTCCTCAGAGGAAAATTTGGACCCTGTAACACAGTTTGAAGAGAAAATGCTACGCAAGAAGTTATGGTGGAGGGCTCTCCTGGTTGCTTTTTAACTCCAGTGTTCCAGGGACACATTATTTCCTATGAATAAAGTTTATTTAGTTCAGAAAATAAAGCATAGAATTTTTTCACTTCTCCAACTTTAAAATGTCACTACCAAATCTACAAAGTGCACCTTTAAATGAATATAAATATGTCAGAATCTGTGACTTAGGATATTACACTTTATTTTATGTTTGTGTGACATGTCCTCTCTCTGTCCTGTAGAGTCTATGCCAGAGCTGCTCACAGCGGTGCAGATCTTGGCCAGTTCTACAGCTGAGATTGCAGCAGCTTCTGTTGGGGATTCCAATCTAGTGAAAGCTGATAAAGGTCTTGACACCACATGGGCGACGACACAGCCAGAGGCCCCAGATGCCACCACAAAGGTGGAGGATGAAGAAGCGACTGAGGAGGCAGCTGCTGATGTGAACGAGGAGGAGCTGGAGTCTGTGGTTGATGCAAAAGCTCCAGCTGCTGAAGCACAGACTGAGGAGGAGACAGACACGCCTGTCGCAGATTCAGCCGAGGGGGAGGAGGCAGTTGCATGTCTCCTCGAGGAACTTACAACCCCAGCACCAACATTGGAGGAGCAGGGTGAGGTTGAGGCTGAAGGTCAGGCTCTCGTCCCTGAAGCTGCTCTAGAGGAGGCGATCTCCTTCACAGACGCCTCACTGGAAGATTCTGCCCCTGTAGAGGAAGCTCCAACCACTGAGGAGGCAGCCAGTTATGCTGAAGCAGCTCCAGTGGATGAAACATCAACTGCTGCCAGTTCATTGGAGGAGGCACCAGCTGAAGCTCCATCAGAGGAGACCGTTGAAGTTCTGGAGACACAGAGTGAAGATGCACCAGTTGTGAACACGATTCAGCTTGCAGCAGCCTCCTCTGGCTCCTTCCTGGAGGCCGTTTCAGCGTCTGAACCAGAGTGTGCAGAAGAGGCTTCAGAACATGAGGCCGGGCACTGCCACTCCTGCCACTCTGCTCCATCTTCAGCAGAGGAGGTGGCGCCACCTGCTGCTTATAGAGGGCATCCAGCAGTTGATGGTTCTGACGATATGACGCATGAGACAAATGAGGCAGAGTCACTGGCGGAAGGACAAAGTAAGAACAAACTGTGAAAAAAATCCATACCAACTGAAGCTTTATCTACTTAAATAAATGTATCCACAGTTGGTGCTTTTTAAGTTTTTAAATAGGAGTAAAGAAAATAAAGGTTTATGCTTCAGCTTATTTAAGATATTGACCTCATCCAGAGCTCACTACGAGAGGTTGTGTAGGCGTGAAAACCAAAATTGCCAGGAAGAGGATTTCTATTCTGACATTTTATGAAAAATCAAAACAACAACAACCTTTTTGTTAATCCTCTGATTTATTTTTTCTTATACCGGCAACTACTGATGTCATATTGGGAGTCTGACTTTTTCCTTAATATTTTAGACTTTATTCTCGACACTTTTCTAAATTCACAGCATGCAGACTTTATTGTCATTTAACTATTCTAAAAAAAAGCGTTTTCCAAACTTTGACTTTAATTCATTATATTTGCACTTTTATTATAAAAATCTCAATGATAATTTACTACATTCCTAATGTTCAGACTTTATTCACACAACATCAAGTTTATTATTTTTCTTTTCTTTTTTTTACTTTATTCTTATTTATTTCAATTTCATTCTCAACATTTAGACTTCTTTTTAACTAATAACTTTAAACAGTTATTTTTAAAAGATCACATTCAATTTATTGTAAACACTTTAGCTTTACTCTACTTCAACTTTGTTCTCAATATTTTAACTTCATTCACAGTCTAATATCTTTATTTGAACATTCTTATTGATTTTCTTCTTATTTATGTATGTATTTATATGTGTATGTATGTATTTATGTATTATGTATTAGACAATACATAATACAGACAATTAGAATACAGACAATAAGTCTGTATTCAAAACATTTAAAATATATTCTCAACATAACAACTTTACTCTGGACACTTCGGCTTAAAAAAATACATTTCAACATTTAAATGTCTCTCATTCCTAATACCCCTGCAATGTTTTGTACTCTGCCTTACATTTAACTAGGTTAAAAAGACTTGCAGATTAAATACACTCAATGTTTTAATGGCTTATGAACTAAGCTTGTCATGTCTTGAATAAAGTAGAGCTAGAGCTTTGTTAGGGATTTGAATGCCCCTCTCTCCCACATTATTCATACGCATTTTCTTTTTAAAAAAATCAAAGTAAAAAGACTGAGCTGTTTAAAGTTACAGCTGGATATATTTCATTTCCCATTGAATCCAAATAAGTATGAAGGCAGGTGCAATGAGTTGACCTCATCATAATTTATTTTTTTCTATCATACTAACGAGTGTTGTGCTTGTTTTTTTGCAGCCACGGAGACTATGGTGGTGGTGACAGCCCAGTCATGAAACGACAGTGTGCCTTCCACAACACTCAACCAATCGACCAAACCAGAATGACCAATGAAAACATGGAGAGAACTGGCAACAGATTTCTCTTTCTAAAGTGTAATTTTCTAAATATGACTTCCTTTTTCTGATAAATGTAATCCCATTAATGTCTGTTGTCCACTAGGTGCCGCTGTTGCAAAGCTTTTCATAACCATCAGTTTCTGATGCTGGGCAGTGGTAAGAGTTTGTTATTTTAATGTCGTGATGGACTTCTTTCCATGGCATTAATATGAAACTATTTTGAGAGTTTTAAAAACCTATATATGTTTTCTTTAAGCTTATAATATTAAATGTAATTTCCTAAACCCATAAGCTGAAAGTATTTGCATGTTGACCAAGTTCGTCATAGTACAAAATAATGTGCAGCCTATCTTTAGGCTTTGTGTTTTACGATTATATTATTATTCTGTGGCAGATTTCAAAGTGATGCATTTAGAAGAAATATCACAATATTACCAGGAGAAAAAAGTGTCGCAAAAGTGTTGTACCAGGTATGACAACATATAGGCCCATGTTTATAAAATATATGAATGAATTTACATGTTTTGTACTTTATATATTTGTTCATTGTACTTCACTATAGGCTATAATTATATATTAACAAACAATTTCATCTATATATATTGAATAGGTTATATCTTTCAGTTGTAAGTAGTTTATACCTATGTCTGTTTCATCATGTGTTCATTTAAATAAAGTTATCAACAATTAAACTAAGTTTTGCTGTGCATTCAATTGTTAGGATTATGTCTCATTTGCTAGTCTTGACATTTAATATGGTGAGGCAGCTCTCTTGAAAGTCATTTCACTGATCACTTGGTGGATACAGTTAAACTGTTATGTCATCTTTGTCTAATCTAGAAAATATTAAATTGCTCTTTTTGGAATCTTTGCTGGGTTCAGGCAACAAAGATATTTGTAATATAGCAATAAGTAAGGTCTTCTACCTGCTTTTTGTAACATAGCAATAAGTAAGGTCTTTTACCTGCTTTTTGTAATATAGCAATAAGTAAGGTCTTTTACCTGCTTTTTGTAACATAACAATAAGTAAGGTTTTTTACCTGCTTTTTGTAACATAACAATAAGTAAGGTCTTTTACCTGCTTTTTGTAATATAGCAATGAGTAAGGTCTTTTACCTGCTCTTTTGTAAAGTGTCTCGAGATAACACTTATTATGAGTTGACGCTAAACAAATAAAAATTGATTGAATTGATTGATTGATATAAATTATCCTCTTGTTAAAGCATGTGCTGCCTAAAAAGGATTTAGGAAAAATAACACATTAACTGTATTGTAAATAAAACTCAAACGTATGCGTTCATTTAGTGATTGTTTATTGTACGTCATGACGTAACAGTGTAACTTGTCTGAACGTGTGTAGTAAACTGACAACAGTGTCTGTCTCCATTAGCAGAGGAGCAGCCTGGCTCTCCTGTCACTTATTATCCAACATTAAACCCCGAGGGCACAGAGGGCTTTATAGTCGCCAGTCTGGAGGAAACACCGAAACTCTTTACGCGTTCAAACAGCTAATGTTAACCTGCGTGTTAATGTTTTGTCGTTAGCATCAGGACAGCAGCGAGCTGTGCGTGGAGGAGGAGGAGAGGTTACTGTGTGACACTCAAACAACAAACTGTCATTAGCACGCCAGAAAAAATCAAGTAGCTGGACACGAAGTTGGCGACAAGCAAGGAGGCGAAAAGAAGAATTTTACGGTATGTGAGCTGACTTTACGTTAGCCAGCGTAAAGTTTTTTCTGTTTTGACAGCTTGTTCTTGTCTCAGTGCTAACTTTGCTAGCTGACGTATATGTCAACATGCTCTTTCTCTTTCTCTTCACTAGTCTACTCATGTGTGACGTGTTTGATATACATGACATGCATCCTACAGAATCTCGAACTTGTATCGACCTGACTTACTTATCTGATATGGAAACGTGTGTAAATGACACCAGAGCTGATTATTCATTGATAAGGTTAGCAGATGTATCAGTGCAGCAGTGTGACTCACTGTACATGTCTGACTCTGTTTGTAAAAAGGCTGTCAGCCAACTGTGTGATGAAGGAAGGGGTTTGTAATCTCAATAAACTCTGTTCTTGACAGTATATGGATATTATTATGGTTATTATCACCACCAGCAAACTACATTTGAGACAACACACCAAAACTTAAAAATAGCTCTTTATTGTAAAGCAAGTGAATCTTTATAATTACAACTCTGCAATATGATATAGTATGTGAGGGCAATAATTACATGATGGTGATGGAAAGATAAGACTTCATTGTTGTTAGTTTTTCACTTTCCCTTAGTGTCCTTTGAAAATGTGGAATAGAAAACAGCCGGTTTATTATTTTCCCTCTCTGTGCAACATTATTTAACTCATGTTGAAAGTTTAATTGTCAATATTAGAAGAAGACTACCATCTACCATCAGCTACCATCATTATAAGTAGCAGAATCCTTTAATCCAGTCACTGGCCTGTTGTATGCATCCATCTCCAGTTAGCAAGTCCATCAAGTAACCAGTGCTTTGTGCTGTTAAATGATTGACCAGTCTGCCTTTGCTTAGCCCGTATATCCTGCAGTCTGAGCTAACACTTGGACTGCTTTCTGAAGGTCTCTACTGGGTTGCCACACTTGTGCCCATATTTTCCGTAATGGGGCAAAATCAAGAGCTCCCTGTCCAGAAGTGTCTTGATACAGACACTGAGCGAAGGCACTGGTACAACAGAGATTGGTGATGGAGGGGCTCGGATGTGGGGCTTCTGGTTTGTGTGTGTTGGGCCTTGTTGGAGGCTCATTTACAAACTACACAACATTATAGTTGCTCATCTGTAAGTCTGTAGTTTGTAAATATATGTTTCGTATCTTCATACAGAAGTCCGGGGCTTACTTGAGCTGATATCCACAGACATTTCCGGATTGTGTTTTTGAAAAAAATATCCCATCACATGTGGTATTTTAATATCTTTAAATCTTTGCAATTTACATAATCCCATAACATATCAGAGGTTTGTTAACCTTATATCCTTATGATATTAGTAGTTCACAGACAAGAATAAACAGCAACATTTGGTCCCATTGTGTCAAAATTTTAGAAACAGCAATATGGTCATGCTAAATGGTGGAATATGAAAGCTGTGTTTTTGCTCTTGTGCTCTTGCTTGAACATGAACTGATGTTTGTAACCACTGAAAGAAGAGTTTTAATGAGACTGTAACAATGCACGGGTTGGTAAAACTATCTCAAGTCATTGTCACAACAACTGAGATATGTTTCACCTTGCCTTATTATTGGTTTATTTAAAGAGAACTAAATCCTAAATCCCCTTAAATGTGTATTTTTTTTGTTCTTTCATTGTGTGTGTGTGTGTGTGTGTGTGTGTGTGTGTGTGTGTGTGTGTGTGTGTGTGTGTGTGTGTGTGTGTGTGTGTGTGTGTGTGTGTGTGTGTGTGTGTGTGTGTGTGTGTGTGTGTGTGTGTGTGTGTGTGTGTGTGTAGAAGGCAGGACACAAGACAGGGCGTTGTATCTGTACGAACAGCCCCAGTAACTTGGAACAAAAGCCCTGTTGTTGGAATATCATGTGACTGTGTGTGTGTGTGTGTGTGTGTGTGTGTGTGTGTGTGTGTGTGTTTTCCACCCTTGTCATGTGATCTGAGCTCCGGGCAGGGTCTGAGAAGTGCTGAGTCGCTAGGAGAGGTTTCTTCCACCCTGGGAACAGTGAGCCAGTGAGCATGCGGGCAGGCAGAAGAGATGGAGGGCCAGACAGACAAGAGTTGTGGAAGGGAGTCAAAGAAGATGCAGAAATGCCTTTGCCTTTTTGTACCATGACAAGAAAGCACCACTCTCATTCTCTCATGTATCTGCTTGTTTGTCTTGGATGGATTTTTAAAAGCAGCAAAGTCATGATGCAGGCCTGCGTTTTGAATCATATCAACTTCTCTGTGGCGAGGCAAGTTTACGCTTTTTTCCTTTTTTCATTTTAATGTGTTCATTTGGATCGTCAGAGACAAAAGCTGGCATGTTGTCAGGATGACTTAGCTTTATCTTCTGAAGTCTCACCACATACTTAACAACATTACTACTTGTGTGCTCCCCAATCTGGTATTCAAAAGCCAAACATGAATTGAGCTTGAATGCATTTACAGTGAGACGTGTAGCTAAAGCTCTGACCCTGGAATGATTGTCTTTGCAGCAGAAGTAGAATATCAACATGTATAGCTATCGCATCAAAAGGCATCAATTTAAACCTTTCAAAAACAACTTTTCTTGTGATATGACAGGGTATATATATTAGTCGATTCAGAATTGAAGTAGTTTGTTCAAACGCGAATAATGCAGTCTCTTGACTCATAAATGCTCCGGCTGAGGAGCGACAAGGCAGCCACGTGTTTCCAGTCATCCGGCAGGTCCTGTTTAACTGGTTTGAATCAATGCAAACTGCAATTTCAGCTTCAGGGACTCCTAACAGATCTTGTATGCACAATTACTCGTTGAATCCTGCTTAAGGGCTTCCATGTTATTACTCGGGGTCTGTATTTGTCCTCCTGAAGGGTGCTTTCTCTCTGTCTTAAGTGAAAATAAAGGATGGAAGAAAAGAACAAGCTTTAAAGGCAGAAAGAACCTACATAACTCTGCAATTGAATCGTTAAACTTACACAACTCTGCAGTGAGTGGTTTTTGTCCATGCTGATCCATTGTGACATGCATGCATTTGTCATCTTCGTGCCAGCTCATTCTGTTGACCCAGTGGAAACAGACATACACATAGAGTACAGGACTCTGCACTTTGACTCTCTCTTTATTTTATGTTTTTTTCTGATGAACAGATTTTGATGGGCTGAATAGATGACTAAATCCCAGTGTGTCTCAATCTTCAACTCCATGAACTTGCATAATAACTGCTGTCAGTTCAACAGCACATAGTTCAACTCGTGTACACACCTTTATTTGGTTTCTGTGCCAGAGAGCAAAGGGAGAGATGTTTTAGACAACCTTAAGACTGGAAAGGAATGGAGAAGAGAAAGGACTTGATTTTCATTAACTACTGAGCCGGATTGAATAAAAGTGGCTGTGTACTCCTTCCTACTATCCCATGACTCACGGGCAGCATCTATCATTTAGATCTCTTTCTGTGTGTCATGTGGTGATTGAACACCACCCCTGCATGTGCATGCACACCACAAATCTGAAATAGCATGCATGACCCTGACTGATATAGGAGCTCAAAGACCAGAACTGGTGTGAGAAGCGAATAATTCACTTATTACTGATATGAAGACGGATATATTGAACTTCTGAGATGGATAAAAATGGTCTTTCTATACATGGATTGTGTAATGAAGCAAGAGGCTGCTTCCTGACAACATACAACTGTATTTAAGAATACAATGCTTAATTAACAAATTATATTCTTACCAACTCTGAGAGTGTCCTGCACTATGGACTCTGAGGTGTTTTGTGTTATGGTGACATCATTTCTAGATCACCCACATTATTATCTTTCCGGCTCTAATCCTAGCCCCAGCATACAGCTCTGTAGATGAGTGTGTGTAGTATGCTTTTGAATAATTGAACAGATGATCCAATCTGAGCTGATGGCATGTTGGTCCCAGTGGCAGAGGAAACACCAGCGCAGCGTGGCTCATCCATATTACAGCAGCTTGAGTAACTGAGCGTGTCCTCATACACTCCCTGTGAGAGGATGTATGGTCAGCAGGTTTGTATAAAACTAGAATGCAATGGATAATGCCTTACGTAGCCTTGTGGTCTTGCTCTGTTCAAATGTTTGAACGCTTTTTCAATGAACATCAAGTGTTTGTGAGGAAGTTCTTTTCTTTGTATGTAGAGAAGAATTCAAGCACTTTGTGCAGATCATACAGAAAAAAACAGGAGAGGTTAGACTCGAGTTCTGCTTTGTGGTCAATAAGTCAGAGACACTAATCTCCAAGGCCCTGCTTTGTGAAAATGAAAAAGCCTTTAATAAATGGGCTAGACGCCTACGCTACGCACTTTGACTTACAAGTCTTCATCAGGGCATGATGAATTCTGCAGATCATCTTTGAGCAGAGGTTTGGCTCCCTCCCGCTGTACAAGTGTGGAGATGTGCTGCTTCGCGAGAGAAGAGGCTGATCAGACATTGTTGTCCATACACATCTTCAGGCAAAAGCCTTCACTGCCATTTTTAAATGGCAGATTTGTGGCAGTTGTAGAATTTTGTATTGTATTTGAACCCATGACTGCAAGATAACCTTGTTGTCTAACATCTGCTATTTGACCCCTCCATGCCATCATTACAATGTAAAAGGAGACGGGAAGAAGTAAGCCTATACTAATAACGTCAACCACACAAAAGTCACATATTAAACTGCTATAAGGCATAATATCTCTTTGCCTTGAATGTGACCATTTTTCAAAAAGTATGTTTACACGTTTTTCTTGATATGGATACAATTGTCAGATTCTTGCTAGTACCGAGCCCTAATAAATACATAATGGGGTTAAATGTCCCAGGGCAATATAATCATGCTCACCAGATAATGATCCATGCGAAAGGGATGAAATATACAAGCACAGTGTTCATGAATTGCGGTGAAAATGTGTTGTGGCTTAGAAAATTAAAGCTTTGTATGATATTACATAAGGGCTCTATTCAGCTGCTGTGTTAAAAAAGTGTAGATGGGGTTTTAAAAATCCAATTAAGATCGGCACAGAGGCACAAATTGTACCCTGAACTTTGATCTAGTAGCATCAAGAAGTTGTTTTTTTTATGTCACAAATGAATATCGTATGAATCCCTTACAGGAATTTGAAGTATTGCTGGATGCTAGATTAGATTACTACTCCAGTAAAATGGGTTAAGCTAGCTAATTGGACATGCTAATGTTAGTGGCTTACTGCATGCATGGAGATGCATATTGTGCTAGGATTTTGGAAAGGTCAAAAATAGACACCACATTTCTTTTCTGTTAACATGGGATATCTACCTCATTTGACATCTTACACCGTAGTGACACCTCACTTTGCATTTTAACTTGTTTTAGAACAATTTAAAATGCCTTCTGGTTAAGTCAACAATTTAAAAACTTAGCAAAATTCGAGTAGGCCTATATACATCAGTTTAATCGACATGCAGCTTATGTGTCTGCTTGTCAACACTCTTGTTTTCCCTTTGTCAATGATCCTATTGTCACCCTGCAGAGCAGAGCAGAGCAGTAACTCAGGGCTATTGTTCTTAGCAACTGTTACCATGGCATAGCATACCCTGCCTTGATCTTCCACTGGACACTGTGCATGTGTTTAGGGACTGACTTGGCTTCCTGTTGGTGCATTACTTGCTGCAAATTGCACACACGCACTTCCTGCAGACCAAAGCCCAAAAGAAAGAGATGGAAAAGATTAAAGACATCTGCTGTTCATGAGCTCTTGATCTTCACTGAAAAGAATTGTCCTGGTGAAACAAGTGGACTTTTCAATAGCTAGACTAAAAAAATCAAAAGTTTGACGTATTGGATTTGCTTTCTTGCCAAATGTTTGATGTGGAGGTTGATACCATTCACAGTTCAGTATTGTAAATATAGAGCCACACTGGAGGAGTAAAGCCCAGGATCGGTAAGTGCTGGGCAATTCATCCAGTTTCAATTTCAGTTAAGATGTTGGGTTCAATCATGGAAATAAGATAATCAAGGTTTATCGATTATGCTGCATGCCGTGTTGCATTTGTTACATCCAAATTCTTGTGATGCAGAATCACCCAGGGGGGGTGTCAGTATTCATCGCTATGATCAATGACACAGCACAGGGCAGCATATCATGACATTCATTTTTCAAACTATGCTTTGCTGAATCATGGACATAAAAGTTATTTTTCTTTTTTTAACAGAATACTTCTATGAATAGAATACTCAGAATACTCTGCTTCCGAAGAAGACAAAATTCTGTACCTTTGGAAACTTATGGAGACGTTTTGTGTGTGCTAGATTGTATTGTAGAAATGTATCCTAAGTTTTTTGTAAATGTAAATGTATGCGAGCCTCACAACAGGCTCGCATACATTTCAATATGATTTAATGAATGTTTTCGTGACATTCATTTTTCAAACTATGCTTTGCTGAATCATGGACATAAAAGTTATTTTTCTTTTTTTCACAGAATACTTCTCTCTTCAGGGGCCTTTTTTCACCCAACGAGGGGAGGCCACCAGACCGAGGTGCTGCTGAAACCCCTGGCTGATCCCTCAGGAGCATGAGTCATGACCTCAGTGGTGCTGGTCGACACTGGTGGGACAGTGGTGGAGTATGTCACGGCTGAAGAGGACCCCCAGCAGGTAGGTCGGACAGTGACAGACTCAAAAAAAAACAACAAAGAAGAGCGCTGCAACTTTTGACTGACTTGTCCTACGTCCCTTAACCTACTTCCTCTCTGCAGGAGGCGGAATGTGAGGCAGAGATGGAGCTTGAGGGAGAGGTAGAAGGCGAGTGTGAAGCAGAGGCTGCCTATGAAGAAGAACAGGAAATAGACGAGGCTGAGGATTACCCTGCAGTCATAGTAGAGGAGGTACCTGGAGCCAGCCTGGCCGAGGAGCATTACTCAGGTCAGGTGGTGGTATATCAAGATGAGGCCTACCTGATGCAGGAAGTGGGCGATGAGCAGGAAGTGGAGACAGAAGGAGAGGCAGGTAAGACACATTTCTTGATTTTATGTTACCTTGTTTTCATGCTTTGGCAAAGTGTACAAGATGACTATCACATTGTCGCTGTTGCAAAAATAACACAAACACCTCTCTCCGGCTGACACTTTAGTTTTTTCTTGTGAATTACAAAGGTTAAAGGAGGAGTTGTGTGCATGTTCATGTGGTTTTTGATTTATGGTGAAAACACAATTTGAATATTTCAAGCTTTTGTTGTGGTTTGCATTTTCATTTGATGATACCGCTGCACTGGTGACACAGGGTGCATCCGTATAGTGCAAAAGACAGTCCCTACTATCCGTACTGTATACATTTAGTATCTACTGTTCATTAGGCCCACACAGGAGGCAGATATTTGTTACTACTTCGTCTGATTCATTCAATAGGGAGGTGGCATCATTTACGTTTCCAGAACCGGCCGCATACATCCTGTTTTTTTTTTGTTTTTGTTTAGCTCTATTCAAGAAGAGTAATGCGCATATACAGTCAGGTAAACACAAAACAATATCACAAGTAAAAGACAGATTAAATAACTAAATAACATACAGTACATAAAGGAAAGTACAAATGAAAGACAGTAATATACAGAATATAAAATAAACCAGTAAAGACACATTTAAATAGTGAAATCATTATTTAAATAGAGGGGGAAAGGTTTTATAATAATGCAGACATTTGTTATGTTTTCTGTGGAATATTCAGAAAGGACCACAGTGAAGTTTAGCAGGCTGTGAGAGGATCAGGCTTCTGTGTCTACACACTGCCCCCTTGTGGATCTTGTATATGAATCCAATAGCAATAGTGACTAGTGTCTGAATAAATTGGATGTTCCTTTGTATGAAATAGGCTGAAAGATGGAAGCACATATTGACATTTTTAAAGATAAATTAGTCAAACTATCAAGATAAAATCTCCACAATACACTTTCAAAGAATGTAAAGCACAAGTATCTGCAATCAGGTTCAAGAATTTGTCATAAAACCAAGAAATATATTTTTTACCACCGCATGTTTTTACCAATTTTGCAAAATGGAGCTAGCTTGGATTTGATACTTTTTAGAATACATTTATGTACCTTACTAGTTCACTCTTCATCATGCCTGATTTCAAACAAACACAAAAGCTCTCTGCAAGTGCTGCAAATAGAAAGGAATTGCATATAGATGTCAAGTGAGATGAGAGTTGATCCCAAGAGTTTTGTCATGTCTAATGACTTTTATTAAACGTATTAATGTTGCCTTGGACCTAAAAGTATTTCACAAGAAGCTGTGAAGCTGTGAGCAATTTTACTTTTAACTTTTACAGAAGAAGATTTTTTTTTACAGTTAATTGCTAATGAATGTACTGCAATGCATTCATTGATTTGACTGAGAGAAGTAAAAACCCTAGATGAATCAATTATAAAAACCAAATAGTACACCCTTTATTTGTATAAAACATAACGCTGCAAAAGTGCGAACACTCATTACAAAGGGGAACTTGTTTTTGTGAAGACAGAATTGTTTGCAGCTTTATTTGACGTAGTTACTACGCAAATGAGGGAGGGAGAAGGAAGGATTTCCTGTGTCGGCGGCGGAGGAATACCTTACTGCCGCCGAAACGTGTTCTGTTGAATGCGAGGAGATTTCCTATTAGCGGCGGAGTGATCTAAGCTAGTAGCTTCCTATACAATTTAGTGAGAAGTCAATGTGAATCTGCAGCAGGGGAAAACATGGCGACTTCGCAGCATGAGGGGCACGCAAATCAGCTCGATCTACTTATTAGAGCCGGTAAGATAGCTTTGTGTACTTAAAGTCTCGACGCTGAAGCTTCCTCGGGGTTTTGTTTTCAACCGCGACCGCTGCGTCTCAGTCCGCTCACTACAGTGAAGTAATGGAGGGCAATCAGGAAGTGATCACCTTGGTAGCAACCTGCATGGCGTTGCTACGCGGTTTGTAAAATCCTGTCTTAGAGGTGAAAAGTTTCCAAGGGCTTGCTTGTCTGCACAAATAAGTGTTTATTTGCACAAAGTGTGGTATGCATGTTGCAGTATCCTTTTCTCAACACGATGTTATGTAGAATAACGGTCTGAAGATCGGCGCTGCACAACCAGGAAGTGTAAAGATGTTGTCTTTCTTACGTCTTTGCCACGCTGTCTGGGTCGGAAGGACATGCGGGTTTATTTTTACTAGAACAACTCTGGTACAGAATGTCAGATTTAGTCTATTTTATTGTTCTCATGGATTGATATGTTCGAGTCAACTGTTAATGGCTTTTGTTTGCTCCGTTTGTGGAAATAAGCAATCTTCACACTTTGATCTTAAAAACATTTATATTTAATAAGATGAGTTTTAAGTTTGTTAAAGACTTGTTAAACAGTTTCAGTGTTTGTTTTGTGGTTTCGGTGATCGTGTTGCAGACTGTGATTGAAGCGTGGGATGGCCTGGCTTCTTCTTCTGTGCTCGTTTTAAGTACGGATTCAGACTTCGACCAAACTGAGGAGAAAACAAAGTAAATCTGCGATTTCACCGTCATGTTGCCCTTTACTGATAAGAAACAACCTATTACAAACACATAGCGTCGTATCCTTAGAAGTTTAATCGCACATTTCTAAGTATTTTTGCTTCATCTCGATGGCGGAAGCATTGTGTGTGTAAGAGGGCGTCGTATGTCGTTGATTGACTTTCCCGTTTGTCCAATGGCGTGCTCATCCAATCAGGTTTCACCAGGGTGGGATCTTAAACAGTGAATGAGCCAATAGGCGGCGAGGCTGGTGTTGAGTGACAAGAGGATTTGTGAGCTTCTTCGAAGAGAACTGGAGGGAAAGGATGAAGACTGTAAACACGGAAGTCATCAGAGGCAGCACTACTTTTTGCCGGACTTGCTGCTATTCTTGGCGCCGTTACATTTTAGTATAGATTGACAACGATTTCCAACCTGTTAATTTATTTCTAACCTTGATTACCCAAATGTAATAAACATTTATTACATAATTGTCAAATTTTAAGATAAAGGATTAAATCAAAATCGTAATATTCTTTACATACTACAGATGACTATATTTTCTATATGTGCCAATTTGTAGGACAAGCCAAGCTTTTGGTGATCTTATTCCAGCACGTCTGCCTGGTTTCAAGGGCAGCTCTTTTGGCTATAGGGTCTCTGCTGTGATGTTTGTTTGTGAGGGGGACTGAATGAGTTGGACAATCTAAAGATAGCCCATGTCTCTCCCCTATGCACTGCCTTTTGCCTCAGTGAGATAGCCAAACATGGATATGGCAGGGTGTTACAGAATCTCATGTTTCCAAATGATTGACACCAACAGCTGGTGCCCTGGCTTCTTTCTCAGGGTCCCAAATGGGGATCTGTAGCATGCCTCTTTAACAGGCTCAATGCAAGTTTTGATTGAAATGCCATTGTCTTTTCGTATAATGCCATGGCGTATTTAAGGTTGTAAATCTTTGTTTTGGATTATGACTCGTTGTCAATTCCGTTTCTAGATGCCTATATTTGAGTGCCGCTTTAAGTGCCATTGAGCCATTGAACAAAACCATGTGAAACTTTTCTAAATGTCACTCTTTAATATTCAGAACAAAAGACAATACTTTGAAACTTTAGACAACCGACAAAGGTGTTAGTTAACAATGTGGATGTGTTAATTTAGAGGCAATATAATGATATTTACTACTATAGAGTCTTTACTTTTTATTTATTTTTTGAATCAAAGCATGCGTTAGCACTTTATCTTTCCACTAGGGGGCACCACACACTTACATTTAGTGTACATTGTCTTCAGCCTTATGCTAGTAGGTCCGGTTGAGTGATCTGACCAAGTCCTGGCAGTTTTTATATACAGGATGTCTTAAGTGTTAATTTCTCTTCCATCTAGTTATAGTCATAGTTCTAACTCCGGGGGGAATATGATTTTAAAAAGTGTTTTCGGGTCCTATTATCTTCTCTAAACTATTTGCTACTTGTTAATTTGTGTGTGTTTCAGTGGAGGCTTCTGTCCATGGCACCAGTGTGCACTGCTCTGACAAGACCTTTGAGGCTGCAGAGGCTCTGCTACGAATGGATTCACCTTCCAGCCACAGGGAAGACAGAAGCCCAGGTAACATACATCATTTGTAATAAATCTAGTAGATTTTCCATTTACTCTAAACTTGGTGTAAATGAAAAGTCTGGAGCTTTAAAACTTTTTATACATAAAAAGTACGTAAAATCAACTCTAAATAACCACTTTCTAAAGCATAATTCTAACTCTTTGTTTTTTGATTCCTTTCTCCAGAAGCATTTATTCCACCGTGTATAGTGACACCAGATTTCCTACACGCTGCCATGCGTCCGGACATGATTGCAGAGACGGAGGTAGAGATATCAACAGAGGAGTGCTGCGAGGAGGAAGATGAGGAGATGGTCACCCTCCTTGATGAGCCAGACCACGGCCACGAGCCTGTCAGGAAAAGAAGAGGTAATAAAAAAATAAAAAAGCTTTAGTATGTGTTTGTTGAAACGTGTTGTGTGAATGTTTCATCTGCAGAGGGAGGAAGCCCCAGTACTGCAGAGATGTGGAAATTAATACAAAAATATTCAAAAACTTAATTCATGCAGTCCAAGAATCACTGCAGCACCAGATTGTGGAAGACTGGGAGCTAAAGTCTGAACTGAAAATAGGAGAAACTTTGTTAAAAATAACCTTTTTTATCCCAAGTTTCAAATTGAAAACATCTGGTAGCTCTGTGATCAACCGTCCTCGCCTCACAAACCAGGCCACAAACCCCAAACCAAAAACTAGACTTGGGCTCTTAATTACAGTTATTGTGTTTGCCCACAGGCACCGTCTAGTGGAGACTAAAATCCTTCTCTCTACTCAGGGAACCCCATTATTCTCTACAATGATACACAGAATTATTAAGTCTCCTTCATTTTACAGCTGGACGGAAACCGAAGACACATCAGTCATCTGTTTCCAACGGCTCACCAGACCTCGGCATCAAAAAGAAACCAAGAGAAGGGAAAGGTACCTCACTGGTGAAATGTTACTTACTGTGATAAACATATATGTATTTATAAATCATATGAGATGAGATTCAACTTTATTGTCATTACACATATACAAGTATAGAGTAACGAAATGAGGTTTGGCATCTCACCAGAAGTGCAAATAAGCAGAAAGTGCAAGAGTCTGTGCTATGTACAGTAATTGAGTGCAAGAGTCTGTGCTATGTACAGTGATTCTGTGCTATGTACAGTAATTGCAAAATTTACAGATGTAGACAAAAAAAGTGAATTATGAGGTATATATGGATGGCTGGATTAATGGGATGCAATAAATATAAATAAATGCTATAAATAAGTAATGTTACAAAATAAGTGTGTTTATAATATACAGATTAAGGTGCAGTGAGCATGCTATACTAATAATATACAGATTAAGATGCAGTGAGCATGCTATACTAATAATATACAGATTAAGATGCAGTGAGCATGCTATACTAATAATATACAGAATAAGATGCAGTGAGCATGCTATACTAGAACATATAATTAAACATATGGCAGTTTAATATAATTAAACATATGGCAGTTTAATGTGTAATGCTTGGATGAAGAGATGTTAAGCAGTTAAAAAAATGTGCTTAATCTCCAGCAGGGAGCACCACCTACCTTTGGGAGTTCCTACTGGACCTACTCCAGGACAAGAACACCTGTCCCAGGTACATCAAGTGGACCCAGAGAGAGAAGGGCATCTTTAAACTGGTCGACTCAAAAGCTGTGTCCAAGCTGTGGGGCAAACACAAGAACAAGCCTGACATGAACTATGAAACTATGGGGAGGGCGCTCAGGTGAGAAGTGTGTGTGTTGACTATTTCACATTTTTTTTCTTATTTGTGTTTTTTGGTAGCGCCGCTGTAACTCCCTTTAACCCCTTTCTCTCAGATATTACTACCAGCGAGGCATCCTGGCCAAGGTGGAGGGCCAGCGGCTGGTTTACCAGTTTAAAGAGATGCCCAAAAACATTGTCATCATCGACGACGATAAGGTAGACCTGCCCACCCCCGACGATCTGATCACTTCAGAGACGGCCGCATCCTTTGAGCGTGTGATGCCCTCACCAGACATGCTGATTTCCTCCAAGAAGCCCAACATCCTGCGAGGCGGGAACAGGGCCAACGTGGTCCAAGCTTCTGTCGCCACAGTCGCCAAGACGGCAGCAGGGGGCGGTGCAGCGGTGGCAGCAGGGGTGCAAAGGATTGTGACTGTTTCATCAGCATCTGATGGGGGTCAGACTCAGCAGTCTCAAACAGCTATCATCAGTAATGCCTCTGGGCCCAGGTGAGATGAGAACATTTAGTTTGGGGGTGAGAGAACGATTCATAGCCACTGTGCTGGTGCATAGAAAAGCATTTTTTCTTAATTTGACACTCTGTCGTAACTCTCATCTACAGGACTGTGCGGGTAGCTATGCAGGTGCCCGTAGTCATGACAACATCATTGGGTCAGAAGATTTCCACTGTTGCTGTTCAACAACCTGCAGGAACAACAGGGGCTGCTGGACACACCGCCCTCCTCACCAACACTTCTGCTCTCGGTGCTGCTGGTAACCCAAACTCCCAACAGAAGGTGAGCACAACTCTCCAGTGACTAGACTTTTTATATTAAAGAAATATATCTACATAATAATAATCTGACAAAGCTCTTTTTGTGAAGTGTCTCTAGAGAACATTTGTTATGAACTGCCAGCTATAGCAGCTATAACATAGTCCCACAATGAAACATTATACATGTAGACCATATCTTCCTGACTGGTTTCCATCAAAACTCGAGACTTTTGCATGTATGATTGTGAAAAGGTATTGTGTTTTATTCCAAATGTTTGAAAAGTTCTAAAATGATGTGCCTTGAATGAGACTAGTTGAACCTGTTCAGACTTTAATGCCACTAAGTCATTTCTAACATTCTCTAACATTTTCATTTCATGTGTTTTAATAATTGAAGGTTGTGATCCAGACTATCCCCACCATGGTTCCAGCCACAGCAGAGAACGGAGACAAGATCACTGTCCAGTTGGCAAAGATCATCACGATTCCCGCCCACCAGTTAGCTCATTGTCAGCTCCAGACAAACACAGGCACAAACAAAACCGGTTCCCAGGGCGGCATCAGCCTCCTCGGGGGCCCTCTTACAGTCCGGACCCTGGCGCCTTTCAATGTCGCCCCTGGAGCACAAGTGATGAGACTCACTGTGCCGACTCAGACGCATCCACAGACTCTGGTGGTGTCACAGCCAGGCAGCGGGGCAGGGGTGGTGACCGTATCAACGGCCAATCAGACGGCAACAACACAGCATCGGATCATAAGCGGAGTGATTAACGGTTCGGAGCTGGTTCTAGGATCAGCAACAGCCGGAGGAGTCGTAGTGGAAAAATTGAAGGTCCAAGCTGTGCAGGTGCCGGTGAATATGGCGGTCCAGCAGAACCAGTCAAACCAAAAAACTGTCCAGAATGTCAAGTCAGAGGTCATGGACGCTGAGGTGGTTATCAAACTGGAAACACCTGATGTGTGAAGAGAGACGAGACAGAGTGTTGAGCACACTCGATCTTCATTAACCTGCTCCTTGTCTGCCAGAGACGGTTAGTTTGTGCATGTCCAAGGTCCTTTTTTTTTCTCACTCTTTAATTACCAGCAACAGTCTGTGAGACTGTGTGTGTTTCAGTGGAGGCCTGTTCCCGAAGGCCTGTTTTTAGTCCTGAACCTTCCTCACATCTTCCCTGATGCTGCCTAAAACTGAACTGAAGCGGTCTCCCTCAGGACCACACTGACACCTGAGTGTCAGAGGGGTTTAAACTATGCTGTGCAACAAATGAATACAGACTAAAAAAAGGGACTTTTGGGAAAGGGACCAACCTTGATCACTACATATGCCTTCTGAATAGATTGCTGTCACTGACTCAAATTTGGGAAAAAAAGGAAAGTATCTTGAAAATACAAAAAAAAAAGATGAAACACTACAAAAGGAGGCGAATAATTACAACTGACAATGTGAACTATGATTAAAGACAGTGGGGTGTGCGATAACGCTTTTGTAGAAACAATTTGTTAATGACTTTGCCTCCACTGATGTTAAAACCAGCAACTTTTTTTTTTTTTTTTTTACGTATCACTGTGTAGCTCAAGTGTGTGAGGTGCTACATGAGTCCTGAGAGAGAGGAAAATTGAGAGAGGCTCGAACGATATGGGACAGAAAGTGGTTATGTATGTACATATATACATAAATATATATATTATCTACTATACAGTTTATGGAGCTAAAGTTTAACAGCCTTAGATTGAATTTTGACTTTCTTTTTCTTTGTATTGTCTGAACAGTTAAGAATTTTGTTTTGTGTATTGAGACGTTGTACCAAGCACAGTATTATTAACATGGGGGAACTAATCTTTCTACTATCTGTAGTTCCTCCGTCTCTGTTGGGCTGTTAAGCGCCCATGTAGACTAAATCTAACAGGAAACACTGCAGCACATTGTTCTCCAGTGGAAAATGTCTTTTTGAATTTCAAATTGATTACACAAATGCATCTCGACTTTTTCTTAATTCTTTTAATTCTGGATGGATTATTTCACTTTTCACAACCCTGCACAGTGTGGCTGCGTGGAGATGCAGAGAAATGTGACTCTGGTGAAAAAAGTTCTTCAAATGAAAAAGCAATGTATGTGGACTCAGATTGAAATGAAGCGATTATTCTAAATGTTAAAAGAGAGGCATAGTAAGTCACAAGTTTATGCAAAATGTCTGTGAGAAATCTCAAACCACTGTGGAGTCCAGGTCACTTTACTGTAAACAGAGGGTCAATTTGCCAACATTACACTTTGTCACTTATATTAGGCCCCTTTATTCATTTTTATCGATATAAAAAAGAGGGAAGATGTTGTAGAGCTGTGTTCAGACTGAACTGTTTGTATATTCAACATTTGAAGTATATTCTATTTTGCTGTACTCTTGTTTCAAAGTGTATTAGATTTTACTGAAATATAAAAAAACATTTGAAACCTGGATGTTGTATTGTTTTTTTTATCAGGTTCATGTTCTAAGGTTATTTGTAGGTAGCCATAACTTTTATTATTGCGATGATAAGGAGGCTGAGTGCACAATGTTTTTTCACAATGTGGCATTTTGTAACCCAAACTCTTACCTTAACAAAACGTCCCGTTTCATTGACAAAGAAGGCAAACATACATTTGTGATAGCCAGATGTGTATACAAGATTTCTTTGAATTTAACCTAACAGATGATACTTCAGAGTGCTTGGTGGAGAAACCCTTCATGCCAAATATGCCCTACTGATAAATGACATGACCTACCATATGGTCCATTACAGAGCCAGGCTCAAGGTAGTAACAACACTGATACTACCTACCCTACCACATAGGCTCCTATTGTCCCCCACAACTCAAAGACGTAGACCTAAAAAACATGACATGAAAAGTTTACAAAAGTCCACAGCAGCCTTGCAAACTCAAACTCATGGTTCTCTAAAGACAGATGTTGTCTTTCTATCAGGTAGTAAGCTCAGTACCTATGTGTATGGTGTTCTCTTGTATCCACACTATAGGTCAACATTTTCAGTTAAATAGAGACGTTACCATGGACACCTTCGTTCACGTGATTTGAGTAATGAGTAAGGGCTTCTACCTGCTCTTTTGTAAATAGTCTTTAGATAACATTTATGAAATGGGGCTTTACAAATAAAGATTGAATGATTCTGTAACATTTGTAGCTGACATTTTCCTTCAAAGAGGATTCTTGTACATTTACATGCTATATGTGTGGTTGTTTTTTTTTTTTTAAATGAAGACAAACCGGGGCGAGACACTTAACCCCAAGTTGCCTTCGTCTGCGGCATATAAGTGGGAATCAATTGGATAAGTTACTTCTGATGGTCACTTTACATCATGGTGTGATGAGGGAGGTAGTCAGGAGACTAAAAAAACTGCTATACAAGCTCAAGTCCATTTCCCATTTTAAAAAAAAGCTTGTGTAAGCTAATTATGAGTAACGAGGACATTGTTTCTACATAGACCTACTGCAGTAAACACATGTTAATGCTGTTGAACCACGTACAAAATAAAACTCAAATCAAAGTGGATGCAGATAATACCTGAACCAATAAAACACTGTAGTGAATAGATTCTTTAATTCCAGCCAGGGAAAGGGGAGTTAGTAAATCTTAATAATAATATTCTGTAAAAAGCAGCAGTTGTAAAATATAAACATCACACATACAGCAACAACACTTTATTGTCAGTCATTGTGAAGTTTACTTGGCAGTGTGAAACCTCTGAGTCCTGTCTTCATCCTCTGCTGCACACCTTCACCATGATCCAGTCTGAACTCTCTCTACACCACCTCCTTCCCTCCCGACTTCCTAGTTCATCATTTCCTCCTCACTCGTTCTCTTTGAAGCTCAAGTCACACACCAGAGAGAGATGGTCAGAGGGATAGCTAAAGGACGGGAGCCTGTTTGGTCCAATCTGTTCCTCAGTGGGCATGTGCAACACTGCGTCCACCCTCAGAGAGTCCTGACTGTACCAGATGTAATCCAGAGTGCTGCAGCATTCCCCCGTGGGCCTGATCTTCCACGTCGTGTACTCCGGCTCAGTCAATCCGTCCTGGCTGAGTTTCTTATAGGCCGACTCCAAACCAAGAGGTGACCCGGCAAAACGTTGGTACACCTCCTCGGTTGGGATCGCATTGAAATCGCCACATATGAGCAGAGGAATGTATGTAGCACCGGGGTCACCCGTTAGCCCGGTGGGGTGTTTCTGGACCAGGTTCTGGAGGTTTCGTAAGAGGTCGGAGCCCTGCGCGCTGCGGAACCACTCCCAGCCTGAGCGAGCCTTCAGGTGAGTCACGGCCACACAAAGACATCTCCCTGTGCTCCGACAACGTAGCATGGTCACCACGGCAACCTGGAGGAAAAGATCAGCGTGTGAGGTGTCTGTGACAAAACTTTACATGGAGTTGGAAGTGTGGCTTTAAATGTATGTATATATATTTTTAAGATTTATTTTTGGGCTTTTTGGGCCTTTAATGGAGAGATAGGACAGTGGATAGAGCTGGAAATCAGGAGAAAGAGAGTGGGGAATGACATGCGGGAAAGGAGCCACAGCTTGGATTTGACCCTGGGCCGCCATACATGGGCGCGCACTAACCACTGCGCCACCAGCGCCCCGCTTTAAATGTATTTCACCCACCTGATTTGTTGGAATCCTCATGGCAGAAAGCCGCATGTTCATGCTGTCCAGGAATTCAAACCGCGACTGATCGTAGAAGAGCGCACAGCCGTCGGGCCCGTTGTTACCCTCCACACCCAGACACGGTGACCAGGGCTTAGGGCAAAAGTTGCTGCTGTAACCCAGGCCTGCCAGGATGGGCTGGAAGGTGTCATAGTAGTGGTCAACTTCCTGCAGACACAGGATATGAGGTCGGTAGGTGAGGATCTCCTCTAATATGAGGTACTTCCTGCGGGACCAGCTGATGGCCTCCATGGGACATTGGACAAAACTGTCGAGTCCCTCGCCGAGAGCTGAGGGAGGCAGACGAGAAAGAAGATCTGAATTAATAATAATACATTTTATTTATAAGCACCTTTCAAGACACACAAGAACAACAATCAACATTTAAAAAACAAGGATGGATAAAATCAGCATACCATGAAAGAAATGAAATGTAGGACAGTGTAATTACAGTTAAAATGTTAGAGTGAGCAGGTGATCTTGAACAGATGGGTTTTGAGTCTGGATTTGAAGATGGGGAGAGAGTCAATGTTGTGTATGTCAGGTGGCGTTTGGCAGGTAGCTAAACAATGATCATAGTTCATGTGAGCAGATATCTCCCTGCTACATCGAGACATGGTTGTGCTTACACAAGATTTAAGATTTTCTATTTCTACTTTCTTTTTTTACATTTCCCATAACTTTAAATATTTAAAGTCTTAGTATTCCAGTTTTTGTTTGTGGAGTGAAAGGCTATTAACTGTTAAAGAAAGTTTTAAAATGCAGTTTAAATAGATTCAGGAGCCATCGACCTAGGTGTCCAAACAACAGTGATGAATTATCCCCTTTTAAAACTGATTCTTGCTTCTATCACATCAAGCAGGGACAGAGCATCACTGGCTCTCTTTTGAGTATTGCTTCTAGCCACATGGCAAACGACAGGTCCACTTTATAGAATGATTTAAACTGAGACTTTGCTCTCCACCAACGTCAGAGGGAAATATCTGGGCTTTTCTCCCCTTCTTATATTAAACAGTTTTAACAGACAGGGTTTAGAGAAGCTGCCTTCTGTTACTGGAAACTGGATTGATGAAACCTGCAGAGTGAAACAAATGAATAAAGCTACAGGCCATAAAACCCACACTAAGGAGCTGAGGGGGGAATGCTGAGGTCATATTTATTACCCTGCCCTTTCACAATAAAATAAGTAGATTACAATGTGTGCAGCTTTAGTGTGCCTGAAAACAAAAACAAATAGATGACATATCTCTAAATTAGTGGAGCATGAAAACACGTTTAAAAGCCACTTGTTTCATCTCATGTCACTGCTCATCTGTAGTTCAAATAAATCATTAAACGAGATCTGACAGTACTTTGTCATGTAACATTAGATAGTTGTCTACCTTGGGCTAGTATGTTCCACTGCATCACCCTAATGGGGCTACTGGTGGAGCCGTCCCCATCACTGAGCTCGGTGAACTTTCTATGGAAGCGAGGTGGTCTGTCTCTTAGGGCCTCCTCACATTGTTGAAGCAGCTCTGCTGGATCGGGGGGGCATAAAGGGGAGCCCTTCTGCGCCTGCAAGGCATGACATGACACTTGTCAACAATGATGTGATCCCATGAGGACGGTTATTACTTTATCACAAAGAACACAACTGGAGTCACCTGGCAGAACACTGGATCCAGTTTGTCCTCCACCGGCTGGAGCGGGAGAGGTGACATGCTGCTGAGTGTTGGAGTCAGGTTGCTGTACAGCCTGGTGACCCCTCCACCCATTGGACACACTGATTGGAAGACAAAGATGATGAGGTGTGTGTTAAAGCCCCACTCAGATCAGAAATTTACTTAAAGTTATAACTTTATTTTGAGGATGTACATGGTCGACCATCTTTACTGCAAACTCATGGTGGTGTCTGCTACATATGCTGCAGATAGTACTCTGCTCTGGATAAACTATGTGAAAACATTATTTCTAAATACATCAAACCTTGTTGTTAAAATAATGTTAAAAAGGGTTTTCATCGGTTACATGTACTTATATACTGTATCTGGAATCAGCTGATAATCCCGCTGTTTCATGTTTGAGGCTCTAGAAAAATCAATTAAAATGATTTGAATCATGTTGAGGATCTCAAGTGTATTTAACTGAAAACAGCAGCCAGTGGTGCCAGAAAATGATTTAGATAATAGATAACAGATGTCGTACTGAACAAAATATAAAAGCTGCAAAAAGATGAGACAAAGAGTGAGAGGAGCTGAAGGGAGCAGCCAAGTCAGGACACACAGACATTTAATGAAGACAAACATTAAATCAACATTTACAAATGATTATTCTGTTTGATAACCAGACAGTCTTCTCATTAAAGCTGCACAACAGGTAGGCAACTTTGGATGTTAAAGTGCATGTTTGCAGATGTCACACACCAGGTCGATGATAGTAAGCACAGTCACGTTCACACGTGCGCCATCTGTCCTAGTTTGAGCCTCCATGAGGATCCAACATGCTGCCTGTTTGTTTGTGAGAACTTTGATCTGCAGTAGGTCAAACCCAAGTGGGTCAAATTCACTGGTCGCTTAGCCAAGAGACACTGAGCGTGTTAAACAAATGTAGGTGACATTAACAATAGTATGAAAATACTTGATTTCATTTTTTTTAATCTTGATCATTCAAATGTTTGGACCATTGGTTGGTCTTTAACTCGTCTATGTTTAAGCAGGGTTATTATAAAAACATTTATTTAGTAATTGTCCATGTTTGAATTTTCTATGGCAGAGATATTTCAACCCTTTCCAGGTGCATACATTTACGTAGTTTTTAGATGTCTATATTGACAATTTTCCAAAATGAACACAAGACAACGAGGGATTTGTTGAAGAGAAAAACACACTGGCCAAAAAAGTGAAAAAGCTCTTTCAATCGTTCATATTTTAACTACCCATAGGTAACCCTTTTACTACTGGGTAGATACAAAACAATTATACAAGGACATGAAGGTAGATTCATAATAATTATACAATAACGTTAATGTGTAATACAGTTTGCAACTTTACAACACTTTTCTCTCGATGTAGCCACTCTTCTCTGACATTGTAAGACCTAATCATGACAAACTGCTTCATGTGCATTCTCTCTGTTTGCACAAACCTGAGGCTGACCTCTTCTCTGTCAACACAATGTTGGTGAATAGCTTTTTTTCTGGGCATCTGTAGACCAGAAGGATTACAGGACTATAAAAGGAGAGCTCAGTTTGTGTTTGACCACAGATGTTTAAGATGTGACCACTGATGGATGACAGGATGGGACTAGCTTGTTAACCCTCTCGTCCACATATATAAAAATAGAGCTAAACATAAACAGAGTTTTATGTGGGTTCATGTTTATTTATATACCTGCTGGCCCCACAATCAGATCTATGGTGAATGGACAGCGCTTTTTCAGTTTTCTGACTACTCAAAGCACTTTTACACCGCAGGTCACACCTTCACACACTGATAGTAGAGGCTGCTATGCAGTGTCCATCAGTATAAAGTAATCCCAGTCACACACATTCAGACGTCGTTGCAGCTTGGAGATGAGTGGCTGCAGGAGCTGGGGATTGAACCCCCAACCTTCCGGTTGGTGGGCTGACCTACTCTACCACTGATCCACAGCCGCCCCCCTATATAGAAGCTCACTTTCACTGTGACTCTGCCTCCCTCTGTTCTTTATACACACAAAACCACACTATTATAACCACACAGTGAACTCATCTTGGGTGAAATAAAAAAATCTACTCTTACCCAAAGTCTCCATCACTGTCCACAGCTTTGTCCTCTTTGCACTTGACTATACGGTCTTTAACGCCTCCTTTCCTTTCAATGCTAGTCACTCTAACAGTTACAGTATGTTTCTGTCAGCTGGTTTATGCTTCCTGTTTCCACTGAAAAAGGAGGCGGTGAGAAATGTGTATTTCGTCTCTGTGTGAATGAAGAATTCTGACTCCCCACTCCTCACTGCTGCCTATAAAATCTCAGGGAGAGAGAGAGAGATAGGAGAGAGAGAGACGAGGAGGAGGAGATTAGGAAGTATGGGCGTCATCAGGCCATATGGAGTGTTACAGGTCATGTGCTGGAGAGCGAGTCACACACACGCACGCACGCATGCACACACACACACACACACACACACAGGGCTGAGAATATAACTGATAGAGCACTATTGAATTACATTGTAATGAATGATCTGGAGAAATGTTAACTATTCAGCTTGATCATTTTTTTAATACCCATAAAAAACCCAACAACAACAACAACATAAATGTACAGAATGTGCGTGAGTGTGAGCGAGTGTGCATGCATATTTGGTAATTATAACTTCCTCAGATTTTGTGTTGTAACAGCACCAGAGACAACTTTGATCACTATTGACCGTCACTATTGTTGCATCAGTGAACAGTGTTATTTTCCATGTGGTATGCTTAGCTCTTACAAAACAAAATCAACTATAGTAAGTACATGACTAAAATCAAAACAACAGTGCTCACATGAATAGCTTCTGACTGGTTTATTGTTTGATCATGCTGCCTTTGCTCTACACTTTATGTCTATCTATTTATTCTCTCCTTATTGTTTTCTCTGTTTTCTCACTTTTCTCTCTATCTTAATTGCTTTCCTTTCAAAAGCCTCCTGTGGATCGATGTTGAGAACTAGCATGCTTGCTAAAACACTTAAACAATGCATCTGGTTTGTCCAATGTATCTGTGATGTCCATGCCAAATAAAGTCTATTATTATTATTATGTTTCTTTATTATGGTCACTGAGACAGTGAATGACAGTAATAAACAGCAGTTCTCAATCTGTGCTTTCAGATCTACTTAAGAGGCTCTTAGTATAAATGTGAGGTTTGAGACATGTTGATTTCTGGAAAACAGAATGAATCAGTTAAGAGATTCCAGGAAAAAAACAAAACTTTATGAAGACTGAAATGAAGGTCAAATTGTGAGCATGCTGTTGATACCTTTACTTTACATAATCAGGCCAAAAGCATTCCAATTTGTTCCAATTCCAATTAGTCTCAGCTGACCTTTGTGCTGAGGGCTAACTGGCACATGTTGTAACCCTAACCTGATAAACAGAAGTCTATTTACACTGTAACTGTGAGCATGTTAGCACACTCAGGTTCCCTCAGCCTCACAGAGCTGATAGCCTGTTAGAGACTTGAAAACATTTAAAGACTAAGTTATAGAATCATTTATTGTCTCATAAAACAGCAGAGACAATGTTTTAAAAAAGGATTTAGCTTTTTTTTCCATTAATAAAATGTCATTTGTATTTGCTTCTCAGAGAGAACTAAAGGAATCAAAATAATAAATATGATTCATAAATGTTGTTCATGAGTAACACAAAGCCATGTCATTCCTCTTGATCTGAGTCCCTTAATCCCACAGATTGGAGTCAAGACACAAACATTTTCATGTTCCACTTGTGTTGCTTTGACGTCAGCACAGTGATGCCTCTGTGACTTTGATGACTCATATCTGTGGACTGGAGATGGAGCATTGTCTCTACACATTACTACAGGTCACGACACATCATGACGAGGCACAGCGTGATACGGAAGTTCATGATTTTCCACAGAATTTTCTTTACAGTAGCAGAAAAGAAAAAAAACATCGGTCACTGGCACTCGAGCAAATGATTGCAAAGAAGGTGAATAAGCGGTTGTTGATAATACAACAGTGCGTGCAGCCGTGAACCTGTGTGTCCTTGTGAGTGCATGTGTGTTCATCAAGCCTTTAAGGCAGTGTGAATCACTTCCTGTAAACAGACAGAACAATTGAATGTAGTGGGGTTGATGAGGTCCATGAAATGAGAAAAGAGAAGGATGTGTCTATGTATGTAATGAGGCAGCAGCCTTCAATGTAGAAATGTCAGTGTGCCAATAAAAGATACAGAAACATGTTTCTGTGGGTGAGAGAGAGAGTGAGTGAGTGGGTGGGCGGGTGGGTGAGTGAGTGTGCGAGCGAGCGGGTGTCACTGTATTTTTTATTGGCATACTGACATTTCTACATTGAAGGGCAACTGTCTCTTCACATATATGGGTCGGTTTGTGTATGTGACGCTTAAAATTAGTGATAGTTGTATTGATGATCTCAAAGTTCCACTACTGTATATACACAAAACATGTTTTCCTCTTATTGAATAAACGATTGGCAGATGTTTCAATGAGGGAGCTACAGTATTCAACAGGTCATATATGTGAAAAACATTTAAAGACATAAATAAATCTGTAAATTTTTTATTATGCAGTTATCAAAATAATGTATTCAGATGTTGCATGATAACACTTTTTAAAGATTAATTTTTGGGCTTTTTGTGCCTTTATTGAAGAGATAGGAAAGTGGATAGAGCTGGAAATCAGGGAGAGAGAGAGAGAGAGAGTGGACTGACATGTGGGAAAGGAGCCACAGGTTTCACTCGAACCTGGGCCGCCCACTTGGAGGACTACATCCTCCACACATGGGACACACACTCTACCCACTGCGCCACATGATAATACATTTTTAATCTTAATTTAAAACGTGTAAAGCTGTGTATGGTTTATGGGTCTGCAGAATTTAAAGTTGACACAATGCATCAGACCAAAGCTGCTGCAGGCTTAAAGGCTTTTTTAATGCAGAAAATAATAATAGTCCCTTATTTTCCAAATGTCCTCCTTTTGGATTCTTGAGAGGAAGTAGATGGTTCAGCTTTGCTGACATTATGGCCAATGAAAACACAATGCCTAAGGACTTGGTTATTGGAATCAAACTAACTCAAACAGCTACCGATACGATACAAAAAGTTTGGAAACGTTATTTCGGTCACTTAATTCGCCCCTTTAATAATACTAATTGGTGTTGTATTTTATATTGTTGGAAAGCCTGATTAGTCACCTTTACAATGAGGTATAACTTGTAAGGAACGTGCATTCATGGAATGTGCAACACAGCTAAACATGTGAGTAGCACTCTAAATTTTTTTTGCCAAAATCCCCTGAAATCTTCTCCTGTTGGTATTCATTTTGAGCTTCAAGTGCTGTCAGGTGTGTGCCAGTTACAGGTGTATGACTGACACCTGATTGGCACCTGACTGACAGCACTTGTGGGATCATCTTGGGCGTGCTGTTCAAACCAGAGTGACCAACACAACCACGCTGGTTGACCTTCAACAACTCCTGGTTGAGGAGTGAGATGCTCCCCCACAGCAGAATGTGACCAGACTGGTGACCAACATGAGGAGGAGGAGCCAGACTAGTGACCAGCAGCCAAGCTGTTATGGCTGTGTATGGCTATTCCACACGTTACTGAGGTCCCTGACAGTGTCAAATGTATAAAGTGTAAAAAACGTATTACTGTGGGAGAGTTCAATCATCCATTCCACCAAGAAACTCAAAACAAGAGTAAATACCAACAGAAGAACATTGAAGGGGATTTTGGCACATTTTTGGGGCGCTACCCACACGTTTAGCTGTGTTGCTCATTCTATGAATGCACGATCCTTAAAAGTTAAACCTCGTTGTAAAGATTACTAATCAGGCTTTCCAACAATATAAAATACGGGAAATAATTGACCAACATAATGTTTCCAAACTTTTTTTGAGGAGTGTCTTATGTCCCATTTTGGATTGAGACATCAGGCTTCATTTGACTAACTGTTGAAATAGTATTCTAATTACAGCCATGCTAGCAGCCTCCTGGAGCTACACTTATCCATGCTTTGAACTAAATGCTAATGTCTTAATGCTAATACACGCAAACCCAAAATGCTACCTAGCTGCAACTAGGCAGGTAGAAAGTTTAAAGGGATAGTTCAGGTTGTATGAGGTACTTTTTAAAAGAAGATAGTAGTCAGCATGGCCCGTTTGTAAAAGAAGGTACAAATATTGAACTGTTGTCATTAAAAAAAGTCTAGCATGTAAATAAACATTTCAGTCAAAGCATGTACTATATTTTGGTTTATATTTTTACCACTTAATCTTGAAGTAAACAGCTCTTTGAATGTTTGTTTTGACTGCACAATGGCCTTGCATTCTCATGCATACAGCACACAGTATCAAATCAGATGTTCTGCTCAGTAGTTATTTAAAAAGGCAACACAAAACAATTACACTATGTTATCATAAATAGGATTTCAAGCTGACATACAGCATTATACATTGCACAGCATGTGTTGGAAGAATATAAGTCGTACCTAGTGCCAAAAGAAAAGGCTGTATTTTGTCTACTTGTGGCTCCTCAACATTGGAAAATATCTTAGTAACTTTGGATGGTTTCAACATGGACCATGCTTGGCTGTTACTACTGTACATAATAATACATCAACTATTGATAAGTACCTCATACACCAGTTGAAGAAACCAGAACTATCCATTCATGTCAAAAATGTAGTTTAGTGTGCTAGCATTTCCTGTTTAGCAATAACCATGAATATAGGTTCAAGGGAGACTGTTGGAATTTTCAATATTTTAAAATATCTCTTCATAAACTTAAGTATTAAGCCAAATAGAACTCTTAAGGGTTCACCAACACAGCTGTGATTCAACATGTACCATGCTGCTAGCATGCCTATTGATAAATAGTGCACTTGCACTAACATATGTGCAAATGTACATGTGAGCATGCAAGTGTAGGTTTCATGTGTGTTAGCTTGTTGTATAGCTACATAACTCTGTAGGTGAGCTGAGTGTAACATAAAGAGGCAACACAAGAGTTGCATCACAGTCTGCATTTTTAGCTGTTGACCTGAGGTTCCATCTTATCCATGTCTCTGCATGTTTGCTTTCAAGAAGAAACTTGACAGTGAAAAGTGACAGTTTACTAACCCTGTAGCTAGCTCTAGCTGTCATTTGCATAACTCGCTGTTTTTTTTATACGTGTAGATAACATCAAAGTTTTAACAAGATATTTTCAAAAGTGTTTTATTGCCATGAGCTTATCAAGAATATAGGCTACTTATTACTAACAACAGTCCTTCTCTGAATTGGACATCCCACCTTGAATGACTCTGCTGCCTCACCTTCAGTTTTCAGTCTGGTCATGAACAATCAGTAAGAACAGTACTTTCCGTTCCTAACCATTTGTCACACATCCCCTTTTCTCAGCAAGATAAAAATGAGCTGAGCCTTAAAGTGTGAAGTTCTGAGTATGACAAATAAGCTGTAAATATTACTGAATGAAGCCTGTGTGACGTCACCCATCTGTTCCTGCAGGGGGGCTTTGAAGTCCCATCGATGGCGGTCTCCATGCTGGATATTCTGTCTCAGTCTAACTTTCAGTCAACCTAACGACAGGCTGAGAGCTGGAGGTGAGGCGGGTTTTAAACCTCCTGACAAACCGTTACATTGCGCCCCAATTTTATGTTTAATTTATTTATATTTTTGTTTGTTTTCTAGCTACTCCCTACTAAATTCCACACTTTACTGCATTAAGCTGCCAGGAACGCATTTCACACCTTTCTAACACACTATCTGAACATAAAAATCATTGCTTGACTCTTATCTCATTTAAATGTATTTTGTCTGTATTGTCGCTCTGTATCTTTGCTTATGTTTTTCTATTTTGTATCTATTTTTATTTTTTGTCTTTGTTTGTTCTCGCTTTAGTTGTCATGTCTGTCATTTCTATATAGTCTTGTTTCTTTTTGTTCACTTTATCACCAATAAAAAAATTAATTAAATTTAAAAAAACATTGCACCTGTCAATCAGGTCAGCTACACATAAAATCAAAATAGACGAGTTATTGGAAAATGCACCGCCAAGGAGGGCCTTCTTTTTGACTGAACTCGTTCTGCTCTGAGACTTGGCATGTTTTTGTTCAGGTGATCTGTCCTCTCATGGTAAAAGGGTTCTTGGCTAAAAGCTGCCAGCAAGCTGCTTCTCTGTGGAGTGCTCCTGCCCAACACAACTCAAATGCTTCATTCTTCTAATTCAATTTTCAGAGCAGTCAATGACAGTCACATCATGTGTTGCTGAAATCTGTACCAACATTATCACTCTGCTCAAACCTGTTCAAATGAAAACCAATAAGAGCACTATGTGATTAAGACCTATGGTAGCTTAAAGTGAGCGCTGGAAATGACAGATCCCCCCCCCGGTCTGAACACAGAAATACACCCTTTATGAGGATATTATAAAACAAATGGAAGAACAAAGTCAGAGGTAAACTTCAGGGGTAACCTCTTACAGTGGTTCATTACCATGGTAACTTACACTTCACATGTGACCTGTCCTGGAGCAGAACCCTGTACTACAACATAACCTTCTTACTGCAGGCCTCAGGTATCTCTGAATAAGATAAGATAATCCTTTATTTATCCCACAATGGGGAAATTTACAAAAGCATGTTTGGAGACATGACACTTTGGTTATCCTGCATGATATTCATAGTGCTTTTTACTGAAAACATCCTTTAACAGAGACACAAAAAGCACTACAGCTGGTACTTGTTGAACTCCTTAAATATAAATTAACTTCTACTTACTGCATTGAATTTATTTTCTCTATATTTCACAGGGTTGCAGCTGCAGTAACACATGTAAGTAAGTCATCAGATGAAATTACAGTCCATTGGTTGCCAACTTATGCTGGATAAGTGATAGTATGATCTTTAATTTAATAATTACTCAGTCGGTGATTTGTTGCCCCTGTTCAGTCTTGCATTTAGCCCCTCCAGTTCTGTTGATTTTAGCTTGATTCTCACTTTATGTATTGTTTTCTCATGTTTGCACTAAGTCTTACCCTTTTTTGAATATGCTACTCAATCTGTTTAGGTTTGAATACGACATGTTAGTGCACTCGTTTAATCCAAAGGGTAACTTAATTTAAAAAAACAATGGATTATATAATGCTACTCAACAGCATTTCACAGAGCCTTCCTGTCAACACACTATTTAGTGTAGGCTTTTGTTTATTACAGTTGTTTTGGTACCATGTCTGGGATCATTTATGACTGCTTAATAAGGATTCTTAAATGTAAAACTAGTGGAGTCTCTTCTCTAAAGGAACTGTGTTAGAACTCACATGCACCAGTTCAGTAGGTCAGGCTAACATTCAGAAACTTAAATGTTTGTAGTATTTTGACAATAAGACATAGGACGGTATTAATCATGAACTAAACTTTTTTATCTCAACTCGTGCAAAATACACAACAGCACAAAATTGAAAGATGTTTTTCGACTTAACAACAACTCATGTCCTTCAGCTGAAGATAAAAAGCTGCGTAAACAGCTGAGTGTGCAGAGAAACAGCTGTGTTTGTGGAACAAATCTTGACTTCTACATGTATTTCTTCACTGACATATAACTTCAGACACAGACAGAAGAGAAAATACCTCAAATAATCTCAATCACTTTCAAGACAAATCTACATCCAAACAAGTTGTGTGATCATCAAAGTCTCACTGCTGGGTCACATGGCACAAAGAGTTCTTTGTGATTGTGTAATGTTTATCTGAAGACTTACCTTCTCTACTGGAATAAGCTGATTTCTGTTCCACTCCTCTTGTGCAGCTGCTGCTTTGTTTTCAGCTCAGGTTCTTAAAGGTGTGACACAGATTGAGAGAATGTTATGTTGTGTGCATGTGTCGGCGTGTTGTTGTTGTTGTCCACAGGATAGGAAGTGGCTGCCTGACCCTCTCACTGCAGGGTATGCTACAGGGCAAGGTCACAGTGGAAAGACGCCTGATCCCTTCTGCCCCCTGCTGGTAGGAGCTGAGTCTCACTTCATGCAGGGAGTCTAAGAGAAAGAAAAGTTGATGAAAAGCTGAAAAGCTGAAAAGTTATTCTGGGATGATTTAAAATAACACTCTGTAAAAATGTTACATGTTATCTTTAATCATTAATTGAATCATTTACTATTTGTATTTACAACAATAGACATTAACTAAAGCAGAGTAAACTTTGGAATAAAAGAACAACCTCTTTTCATAGTAAAGTTTTTCACTTCATGTTCAAAAGTTTTAAGAAAAATATGAAGTTAATGTTGATGATTTGTTTTTAAAGTCGTGGCATGAACAAAAATCTGCAAAAGTCATTGCATCATGTTTATAAAAATAAGTTTCACATACATGATACTAACTACTATTACGTTAACCTCTAGCAGCAGCAAAGGTTTCATTTCAACCAGACGTTTTGAACCAATCAGTTCACACTGAGAGCTTGGTGGTCTCAGTGATCTAAAACAAATAAAAACATCTGTTGAAAATGAAGCTCCTGTGATATATTTTATGATTATTGACTTGAATCTAAATGTTTTGGTTGTTATTGTTATTTACCTCGTGGTGTTGAACTTCACTGCATAATCAAAAAGTTTTTCTAGAATCTTATAGCATCATTACCCATTTTTAAAATGTATCTCATATTTTTGCTAGTGGTGAAAAGAAATACACATTATTATGTTTTCAATAACAAACGTATTATAACCATAGAAATTACAAAATACCACTACTTTCCCCGTCTTCCTTTATTTACAAGGGAATAGGATGCACCAACACACTGCACACTACACTTTGAGATTTCAAAGCAGAGACGTTTTATTTCATCTTTCTAGAGTAGTACAAAAAAAGTACAAAATGTGAGCCATTCACTCAACCATGCCAACATACACGATGCCACGACTCTGACGCCGAAGCAGCTTACCCTCATTTATTTGATTTATTACATCTATGCCTTTCAGACTTTAATGTCAAACTATATTAGTAAAAAAACTGACTGTTAATAAAAAATAGTGATGCAACAGTCAAAAGCAAAGTATGATTTATATTCCACTTAAACTAACCATTTTAAATCATGAAACAATATAGATTGAAATGGACTAAGATCTAATGAAATTAAACTCAGGTAATGCTACTTTCACAGTGGATATTTCTATATTTTCTTTTTTTGCACAAAAGCACAGATGGAATTCAAAAAATTAACAGCAGCTCTACAGTTCAAACAACAAAGGCAGTGCAAGAATAACTTCAATGATGTGGTTATGACCAGTTTCTTTACTAAAGACGGGTACTGTAACAGTATCTATATTACACTGTAACATCTATGCACTGGCTGAGAAGACGATCAAATGAGTGAATATGTCCCACTTTGGATGATTGCTTTTTTTCTGCATATATATTTTCATATACTTGAGCTTGAATTAAAATAAACCCAACAGACACAACTTCATAGTATCGCCTCATACTTTATTCAAAAATGCACCACAATAGACACTACAGGCCGGCAGTCTTTTGAGCCAACCAGAAACAGCGACACGTCTCAGATCTGCTGCTCTACAGTCGCTTTATCTCCCAGTCGTTTGCTAAAGTTTAACATCTGTTGGTGCAGCAGTGTACTGACAGTCCCTAACTGTTGTCTTCTGCTCTTAAGATGGTCCAACATGGCAGCCAGTGACATACAAAGACCCCTATTACTGCGCTGAAAGTCCTGAGTTGCCAATAAATCCTCTCTCCATGCGTCCTGTAAACTCTCAAACAGGGACGACATCTTCTGCTTGTACTGCTGGACCTCCTGCCAGTACCGCTCTTTGTCCCCCCTGGCTCTGGTAACATCCCCTGTCATCTGTCTGATACGGAGATGCAGCCTGCTGTTCTCCATGCTGACCTGCTCCAGTTTCACTCTATTATCATAGATGCTCACCTCTACTGCTCTCAACTCTGAGGCCTGTTTGTCGAGCACATCCATGTGACTCACATGCAGCTCCCCCAGCTCAGCCTTCATTTCCACTTTTGGCTGAAGGAGGGATCCGGTTTTCTCCTTCATCCCCTCAATCGACAGCTCAAGATAGTTTTTATTTCTACAAAGCTCGGAGGTCAACAACTTCAGCTTCTGGTGTCTCGACTTCTCTTCACCCCAACTTTCCTCCACCTCCTTCAGCTCCCCCTCTTTCTCTTCCATCTCCCTCTGCTTCTCCATGTTGCTGCTCATGATGATCTCAGTCTCTGCAATGCACTGCTCTATGTCCTGATGGAGTTTGGTCTCTTTCTGTTGGTACTCCACCTCACAGTGGTCCGTATAGCTAATCATCAAGTTTTCATCCACGCTCTTGGGCTGTCGCTGGTGAAGTACAGCCTTCTCTTGTTGAAGCTCCTCATATCTCTTCCTGGTGCTACTGATGTAATTTGCCATTTTCTGCATGTGCTCTTCCTGCTTCCTTTTTGACTCCTCCAATAGTTTTTTCAGCCTCCTCTTATCCTCCTCAAAGTGGCCAATGTTCTTCTTCTCTGTATCCACATTACCACAAATCTCTTCCTGATTCCTCTTGAACACGCGCTTATTGATCGTGCAGTCATCCGAGAGCTCTCTGATCTGCTTGTCCATCTCGTTTATCTCTTTGCTGTGTTTGACAATGGAGGCGATGCGCTCCTCCATCTGCAGCTTGGATCGCTCCAGCTCCTGTGAGGCGTGGAAATATTCTGTCCTGACTTCATTCTCTTTATCCTGCTGGCACTTGAAGATCTCATAGATTTGTGCAAGTGAGTCCTGACAGAGTAATCTCGATGTGTGACCCTCGTCTATTTTACCTTCAACTATGGCGATTTCCTCTTTAAGCTGTTGGATTGCAACGCTGAATTCTTCCTTTAACTCGCTTAATTTTTTCTTCAGTGTTTCTCTTTCCTGTTTTAAGTCTTTATGTTTTTGGGTCTCCCCCTCCAGCTGTTTCTTGTACTGGCACTGAGAGTCAGTCAATCTTCTTAAACTGCTCTCCAGCTTTGCCACTCCAACTGTGAGCTCACCCAAATGTGCATTACTTTCCATGTTCTTATCATTAACTCTGTCTAACTCCCCCCTGCACGTACTGACTGTTTGCTTCTGCTGCGTTATTTGCTCTTCAGTCTGGTTCTCTTCTTTTGACAGGCTGTCTTTCTTGATGGAAAAAGCCTCTCTCTCCAGCATCATATTTTGCTGCACTGTTTCTCCGTCCTGTTTCACTGCAGCTATGGAGGACCTGAGCTCCTCTATATGCTCTAATGTCTGATCCAGCTTATTCTGCAAGCGATACTTTAGGTTGATTTGATTGTTAAGAGCCGCTATGATCTCTTCATGTTCAGCCTTCACCTTCTCTCGCTCTGGGTACAGGCCTTCATTTTGGCTCAAAAGGGCTTCTTGTCTCTTCACGGTTCTGTCTTGTTGCTGGATAACTTTGTGGAGGTCTTGGTGCAGCTGCTTTATCTCATCTGCATTGGATGCGCGGGCTGCTGCCACGTCAGCCATGATTTCCTGACTTATTCTTTCACTCCTGTTGTTAATTTGGTGTCTAAGCTTACTGTTTTCTATAGTTTCCACCTCTAAATGCTCATGGGTAGCACTCCGTTCCCCCTCCAGCTCAGTGATAGCTGCAGTTATCTCAGTCAGGTGGAGGCTGGCTTCACTTGAAAAAGAAACCTCTTTTAGCTGCTTGTCCAGCTCCTTTAGATGCTCCAAAGCAACCATGACGGCCGGGAAGTCGGGGACCAGACATGAAGCCATTTCGAGTCGGTGTTTCGTTTCCGGTTAGTGGTCGAAGATGTGTCAGCAGTTTAAAGTTTTCTACCCCCGAAAACCGTAGACTGTAAATATTACGCGGATAACTTGTGAGCAGGGTTGCCATGGGAACAGCTGACCAACCACAGAAGAAGACAGCATGCTACGGAAAGTCCGCAAGGCCATGATAGTAGCAGTGGCTAAAAATACACTAACCAGTAGATGATACAAATAGCTAGGCTACTTGATAACATTAAGGTAACCTATTAAAATAAAATAACCCAAAGTTTTGTGAGCTAAATATTGAAATAAGAGTCGGGTGACCTTGGAAGCATGAAATTACTTGTGGTAGTTTGAGAATGTTATAACTTGTGTCTCGTAATTACAGCATCGTAGCAAACTTAGTTAGCTCACTAAAAGCGCTTTTAAATATGTCCCAACTCAAAAACATAGGCACACTCGAGCAAACATTCATCGATACTTAAGCTGAGTTTCACGCACCTGGTGTTTGAAGCTCTAGCACCATGAGCCGCAGTAGCCTGTCAGGCGAGCCCTGGGTTGCCAGTTTTGAAGGTTTCACGTAAAAGAAAATTAAGGCCGATAGTTTACTTCAGCAAACGGCAGAGTCTAATTTTCTGAAGACAATGCAATTAGCTTCAGTACTTCTGAGATAATTTACCGTATGCCTATTTAATTGGACAGAAGGTTCTTCCCACAACAGGACCTGGCAACCCCATCCGGTCGAAGTCTTTGCCACAATCACACTTTTTTCATTTTAATTTCTTACATTCTTATAATTTAAATCCTTTTTTTTATTATTTACAAAGTCAACTCAAATGTTATCAAGGACTAACATTGTCTTCTAATCTGTTGTTGTAGCCTACTTAAATGTTGTCCATCATGTATTAAATGTTGTTATTGTGAAGCCAAAAACAATCTTCCACATTGTAGACAAATAAAATAATATTCTAGCCGACTGCGAGGCTCCTTGGTTAAGCTCCTTAACGTTTTTTCTCAGATGTTTAATGGCCTATTTAAAAGTCCATGTAAAAAAAAAAAAAAAAACACTTCACAATCTAATAAACACGTTTACCCTTTTTATATAATACGACGGAGGATTAGGGCCATGTTACATTTTTTTTTTTTTTTTTTAATTTCGAGATTAATCTCGTAAATTTACGAGTTTAATATCGAAATAAAAAAAATAGAATTAACGTGGCCCTAATCCTCCATCGTAAATATAAGACTAGATGAGACTTTATTAGAACCTGAGTGTTTTTGTTTTTTGTTTAAATTTGTTTTTTGCAGCCGTACAAAATCACAATTTTAATCTCACATTGAAGTTTCGAGATGACACGGAACTGTAAAATAGTGTATGTTTCATGACGAACGACAAACGGCGTTGTACCAGTTTAGTAAATCAACAGTGGTGCAGATTCTTTCTGACACTGAATGTTTGTTTCAGTTAGCTTACAAAATCAGCAAACGACATGGATGATATTTTAAATATAAATTTAAATTCCTTCGTAGAGCACCGAACCATAGACTCGTGGTTGACCTTTGACCTGTCACCATCTAAGGAGGACAGCGAGGAAACCGTGCGGGAGGTTAGAAGACATAAGGAGCTGAGTAGAAGAGACGTCGACCAACTTGAACAAGAAAGGCAAGAAGCAAGCCCTCACCGGAACACAGCATGGGCTTTCTCAGTGTTTAAAGACTGGTTAAATGAAAAGAAAATGTCAACAGACTTTGGATGTTACGAGGCAGAAGACCTGAATCAGGTGCTGAGGTCATTTTATGCATCTGTTCAAAATGCCAATGGAAAAACATACTCCATTGGGAGTTACAAAGCTTTGAGGGCTGGGATAAGTCGACATTTCTCAGAGTTTGATATGATGACTTCTCCTACCTTCACATCCAGCAACGAGATTTTTAAATCTGTCATAAGAAACCTGAACAAAAACGGACAATATGTCGGCCAACACTTTCCCCCCATCTCAGCTGCAGATTTAAAGCTCATCAGGGGTTCAGAGGCGTTGAGTCCAAACACAGCGACTGGACTGGTCTGGAAAGTGTGGTTTGAAGTACAGTTACATCTGTCAAGGAGAAGCAGAGAAGGCAATCGAGAATTAAAAAGAGACTCTTTTATTTTGAAGCATGATGAGAAAGGCAATGAGTACATTTCACTTTCCCACAAAGCTCAGACCAAAAACCAGAAAGGTACCGCAGACCCATGTAATGAAAACAACAAGGGACGTATCTACGCTGAGCCCGGAAACCCAAACTGCCCAGTAGCCTGCTTTAGAAAGTATTTATCCCATTGCCCTGTTGATGCTAAGGCTTTTTACCTTCACCCTGTAAAGTTACCCCAAGACCTACTGAACAGTCGAGTTATGTGGTATACTCGTGAGCCCATGGGGCATAACTTCCTTGGTAAAATGTTACCTGAAATCAGCCAGGCGGTTGGGCTTTCAAGGATATACACTAACCACAGCTTGAGGACAACTGCTTTACAACTTCTCTCTCAGACTCAGTGTGAGAGTTGTGAAATAATGACAGTTACCGAGGACAGATGTGAAAGCAGCCAGAGGAGCGACTGCAGTCCAGACAGCAGCAACACAGCTGGTGAGTGCATCTCTACGGCTGCATTCACACTGCAGCTAAAAGTGACCTGAATCAGATTGTTTTTTTCCGCTCACTGTATCTCAGCTTTTCAAATCAGATATGGCCCACTTTCATATGTGCATTCCTACAGAAGTCTGATACAGACCACACTTAGAATGCAATCTGAACAGACAAACACAAAAATCTGACATGAGCTTTAAGGCTTGCTCTGTGAACATGTGGCAGACTGAGTCTCTGATCTCTTCAGAGTAACATTAACAATAAGTGGTAGTGATGTTAGAAAACCTAACATTTGCTTAATTTCTGCTTGAAGTTGTATCAACTGCAAAGCCCAGAGGAGAGCCAGAAGAAGACAGAACTATCAGTATTCCTTCAGATGTCCAGATCAACCCAAAGAGAAATGGTAAGTTTCATTTGAATTAAAACCATTGACTGCATGAATGAGTGATGGAGAAAGATGTCTATCAAAGTTTATTTGAAGTCCCTGTCAGTATTAAACATGCCACACACAAATACACACGTCTACTGTTTTCAAGACTTGATAAATGTACATTAGATCTTGAATACAATGTTGTTATTTTCTGCCATACTTAACACAATTTTAATAACACTTGAAGCTGTTAAAGTTTTGATGAAACACAGAACTTTAATATCGGGAATGTTGTTCATGGCAAACATTAAATGGCGTTGCACCAGTTCAGTAAATCAGCATTGGTGCAGACTCTTGTTGACACTGAACGGTTTGTTTCAGTTAGCCTACAGCATCAGAAAATGACTTGGAGGATTTTTTTTAAACATTTATTTAAAATTCCTTTGTAATGCACTGAACTACAGATTCCTGGTTAAAGGCTGACCAACCACCAGCAAAGAAAATAAAAGTAGAGGAGGAGGACGACGAGGAAACCGTGCGGGAGGTTAGAAGACATAAGGAGCTGAGTAGAAGAGACGTCGACCAACTTGAACAAGAAAGGCAAGAAGCAAGCCCTCACCGGAACACAGCATGGGCTTTCTCAGTGTTTAAAGACTGGTTAAATGAAAAGAAAATGTCAACAGACTTTGGATGTTACGAGGCAGAAGACCTGAATCAGGTGCTGAGGTCATTTTATGCATCTGTTCAAAATGCCAATGGAAAAACATACTCCATTGCCAGTTACGTAGCGTTAAGGGCTGGGATAAGTCGACATTTCTCAGAGTTTGATATGATGACTTCTCCTACCTTCACATCCAGCAACGAGATTTTTAAATCTGTTACAAAAAACCTTCGCAAAAACGGACAATATGTCGGCCAACACTTTCCCCCCATCTCAGCTGCAGATTTAAAGCTCATCAGGGGTTCAGAGGCGTTGAGTCCAAACACAGCGACTGGACTGGTCTGGAAAGTGTGGTTTGAAGTACAGTTACATCTGTCAAGGAGAAGCAGAGAAGGCAATCGATACTTAAAAAGAGACTCTTTTATTTTGAAGCATGATGAGAAAGGCAATGAGTACATTTCACTTTCCCACAAAGCTCAGACCAAAAACCAGAAAGGTACCGCAGACCCATGTAATGAAAACAACAAGGGACGTATCTACGCTGAGCCCGGAAACCCAAACTGCCCAGTAGCCTGCTTTAGAAAGTATTTATCCCATTGCCCTGTTGATGCTAAGGCTTTTTACCTTCACCCTGTAAAGTTACCCCAAGACCTACTGAACAGTCGAGTTATGTGGTATACTCGTGAGCCCATGGGGCATAACTTCCTTGGTAAAATGTTACCTGAAATCAGCCAGGCGGTTGGGCTTTCAAGGATATACACTAACCACAGCTTGAGGACAACTGCTTTACAACTTCTCTCTCAGACTCAGTGTGAGAGTTGTGAAATAATGACAGTTACCGAGGACAGATGTGAAAGCAGCCAGAGGAGCGACTGCAGTCCAGACAGCAGCAACACAGCTGGTGAGTGCATCTCTACGGCTCTGATGGCTTAAGAGTAAAACCTTAAAAGTGTTTATTGTCATAATGTTAGAAGTTGTTACATTTGCCTGATTATGTTTTTAAAGGTGTGTTAACTGCAAAGCCCCAAAGAGAGCCGAATGGAGACAGAAATGTCGACATTGGTATTCTTACAAATGTCACCACAAAGAAAGATGGTAAGTTCCATGTGAAATATAACCCTGGGCTGTATAAACAATATTATAACACATTAGATGGCTGTGTTCCCAATACACTGTCAATGGGAAGGTTCAGTAGTGTGATATATATGTTACATAACAGTCCCTCCAGGATTTAACTGGAGGTTCTCAAATGCCGGATTCTGCAGCAGCATTTAATCCAAAAGTTCATTAACAGTTTTTTATTCCTTTAAGAGATATACAGGCAGAAAAAAATAAAGGAAGTTAAGGAGGAGAAATCACTTACAGTTCACTAGTTTATTTGGCCCTCAAACGTTTACTCTTTTTGGCACCAGAGCTTCTTCAGAGTTGGTCTGAATATAAGTCCCATTCAATAAGATACACAACAGCAAAGACTGTTAAAGGCTTTATATGTGATTTTTTGATCCAGCAGGTGTCGCCCTTGAGCACCAGCATGAAACCAAAACAACTGGCGGTGCATTGTTGTGTTAGCATGCTAATGCTAGCTTTAAATAATCTTTATTATGCTGGTATCTTCACACTGCATGTAAATTTACCTGAAATGAGCGTGATCTAGAAACACAGTTAAGCAGTGAGTACAGTATGTTATTCTTCTTTTCTCTAGTCCCTCAATTAAACAACTTTTATACTTGAGGGGAGGAGTCAGCCGGCCGTCCAGGCGATGTAAACAAACTGAAGATAGGACTCTGAAAACTCTGAAAACATCACAGACAGTGGGACTCGGGTGTTACACCCATTGTAGACAGTCATGACTCACAGAGTTATTTTCAGAGGATATACTTGATTTCTATTTTCTTTTAAGTGTGAAAAATCACAGAAACCCTTAAACTTTTTAAATGTTTATTATTTGTATTTATTTTTTTCATATGCGTAGACACTAGGGATGTAACAATTCACTCAACTCACGATACGATTCACGATACGATTCTCTGATGATTTATTTTACAAAATGAGACTGTAGACAAATTGTGACTGAAAAAGATTCCTTTATGGGCTGCAGACCCACTTGTCAGTGTGGTTTGGCCTTTTCATGTTTTTTTTCTCACAGCAAGGGGAGGTGATTGGAGCTTCTCATTAAATGCTGCATCATGTTGTGTGTGCTATTTGTGTTGTTCTCTGTCTTCTTGTAATATTTGAACACAGTTTTTGTCTCGTCTGTTATCTTCTCACCTCTTTCATGCCTAAATGCATTTGAAAGATTGAAAACATGAGAAGGAGGTCAAAGACAAGGCAACAAGACTGGAAAGTATCCAGAAGGGGTGAAAGATCAGATAGGAAGACATATCACGTTTTTAACCTTTTTGATTACAGTAATTTAATATGCTACTTCTGCTGTATGGAAATCTGAAAGAATACAAACTACTGTTGATGCTGCTCCTGTGACAGTGTTGCAAGTTATGGCCAGAATTAAAAGGAGAGGAGGAACTGCTTGGAGAGGCTGTGAGACCCTCAGAGCCTAGATTGAGGAGTTATCAGGTGATTCGTTGACGGGTGTTTTTCCTTTCTTTTCTCTTTATTAATTTGAACAAATCCGCCGAAGTAAGTCGCATTTTCAGTCCAGTAGGTGGCAGTAATGCAACACTTTGGATAACATCCGCCATTAAAAAAAACGAAGAAGAAAAAGACAGCCGGGCTGCAGCCAGTGGACAGCTTACAGGAAAAAAAAAACTATAGAGCTGCACTACGAAAACATGGATCTTATCAGTAAACCCAGAGGAAAATCTATCGTGTGGATGTATTTTGGCTTGAAAGCGGACGAGAATGGACAGCCTTTGAACTCTCGCGAGGCCGTGTGTCGTTTATGCAGAAAGATAGTGCTTTCAAAAGGTGGAAACACCACCAATCTGAGAAGTCATCTGAGACGTCGACATCGTGCAGATTTCTTCGAGACCTCTTCTTCCACGACAAATGGAGCTTTGTTTGAGTCGCAAGGTGATTTTCCATAACGTTCAGAGCTTTCACTAGGTTATACAAAGTGTGCATCAAACGTCCTGTTCACTTTAAGTCCAGGCAACGACCATTTCATCCATGGATTAAAATTCACCAATGCAACTTTAATGTAACGGGGTACGATTTGTAAAGGTGCATTGTTATTGGAAATGACTAACTTAAAATAATACTCTAATCTGTTATTGTGAAGGTTTATGCACATTGCATGTTCACAATGATTGTGATTCTACCAGACACACTGAAAGTCCAGATTATTGATTACAATGAATCATTGTTGAGTAATGCATGTTTCTATATCCCTAATTGGTAAATCTAATTGGTCCTCACGTGGTCAATTTAAAGTCACGCTTGCACACTACACAAACGCTGAGCTCATTTTCACAATAACAAACAACTGGAACCCGCTTAAGGATGTCTGTGCGCATGCTCAGATGCCAGCGGTCTGTTTTACGGCAGTCCCATACCAATGTTGTTGCCATGGTATCTCCGTGACAGTCACTCAAGCAGTCCATTGTAGGGAGCTAGCAGACGCATTTTGAAATATTATTAGATAATATCATGAGTTTCTGGTTGTTTTTCTACCTTCCCAGTCGTAGAATATGTCATGATTAAGGACAGATATGCGGTTGGTGCGTTTATTGGCTAGTTAGAGCCGCCATTTTTTGCGCTTCAAAGTACCGTCTGTTAACCGCCTGGCCCTGTGTCCGGTGTGATAATGTCCGTGCTATAAGAGCAGTATAGCACCGTGAGCTGACCGTACAGTATCCCTCCGCTTTGTTTCCGACAACTAATCCTTCGTTTCATTTTACACTGGTACAAAGATACTATCTGGATTAGCCAGTGGAGCTAATGGCTAATAATATGAATGCAGACCTGAGAGAATCTGGTGATAACTTGGATTTGTTAGATATGGAAACTAAAAGGGCGATAATTCTGAAAGAAGAGGAAGAGTCTGAAGAAGAGGATGGTGAGGTAAATTCCAGTGACATTTCTAGACATGCAATTGTATCAGACTTGGAACTGGATGAACTTGAAATCAGCAGATCTGAAATAAACAAGCTGACAAAGAAGCAGACTTTATGGGCTGTGAATATCTTCTTTGGTTGGCTGGAGTCCCAGGGGCTCCAGGTGGACCTGAACACAGTGGAGAAGACTGAGCTGAACGGCTTGCTGAGGCAGTTTTATGGATCTGTGCGAACCAGCAAAGGAGAGATGTATGGGATTGCTAGTTATGTTGCACTGAGAGCCGGACTTAACCGTTACTTCAAAGAGCCTCCTGTCAGCCGCCCTTTGTGCATTATGAGAGATCCTGAATTCAGCCCTGCCAACAAGGTCTTCTTGGGAATGCTCAAAAGAATTAGGAAGTCTGGTCGTGACAGAGCACAACACCATCCATCACTGTCTCCTGACGATATCCGCATCCTGAGACACTCGCATGTGATGGACAGCTGCACTCCGAGGGGGCTTCTCAACAAAGTCTGGTTTGATATTCAGATACATTTTGGCCGCAGAGGGAAGCAGGCCAATAGGAATCTAAAGCCAGATTCATTTAAAATCAGACAAGACGAGAAGGGGCTTAAATACTGCACTTTATCGTTTAGTGATGAGACAACATTTCACAACAAAAAGAATCACTGCTATATGTATGAGAAGCCAGGTAATGAATTCTGTCCTGTTACTTCTCTTATAAAGTACCTCTGCAAGCTCCCGTCCAATGCAACTGCCCTTTACCTGCAGCCGAAGAAGGAAATCACAAATGCGATATGGTACAACAAAACCCCCCTCGGAGTCAATCATCTGGGCTCAATGCTTTCTCGCATGTGTAAAGAAGCTGGCACATCGGCCATTTATACCAATCACTGTATCAGAACCACGCCCTTTGACCTGCTGTGTAATGCAGGACTGGAGGGGAGAAAAGTTTTTCCTGTCATCATGCACAGGTAGGATAAGTTCACTAACTTGTTTCAATTTAAATTCAAAAATATCCTGCTGCTGAAATTAAGGAAATATCTTTTTTTTTCACCAGGGTTGTAAGCGCCCTTCAAAGTCAGCCAACGCATTCACTTGGGAGCAGTAAGAAGTGGAGAAAAATATTACCAAAGAGCGATTCAGCTGTCCCACCAGGTCTGGCACCAGACAACTGGGCATCCGTAAACAGAAGTCAACTGAAGCACACACATTGTGCACCACTGCTCCAGTGGATTCATTATACTAGTAGTAACAGTCTGAGTCATATCTTCAGATAAAGTGAAAAAGTCTGCCATACTCCATACTGGATACAAGAAACTCTACAAACACATTTTATTTGTTGGGGAACAAAATAAAATTCATTAAAGCAAATCAAGAGCTTGTCTTTGTAAATATCTAATGTAAGCAACAATCACTAGGGATGTAAAGATTAGTCGTTATAAATCGTTAAAAATCGATTCAGAGGTGTTAAGATTCACATTGGTACTCTGAATTTAAAATGTAAAATTGGAGGTGTGGAAGCATTTGGGCTTTCCCAAGATAGAAAATGAACGAGACAAGAACTGCGTGCAGATATTACAAGAAGACGGGAACTACACAAACAGCACAACCCACATGATGCAGCATTTAATCAACACCACAATGAGAAGCTCCAATCCCAGAAAAAAACAACACGAAAATGCCAAACCACACTGACAAGCGGGTCTGCAGCCCCTAAAGGAATCTGTTTCACTCATCATTTGTCTCATTTTGTAAAATAAATGGTGAGAGAATCGTATCTTATCATGAGTTGAGTGAATGGTTACATCCCGAACTATCACACTATGATTTAGTAAATGTGTCTGCTGTCTGTATTCCTTGTGTTGCCTAATTCCATTGAATTTGTGTTTTGTTGCTCAAAACAATGAATATACTATAACAATTAAAGTTAAGTCCTCATTTAGATTGTCAATAACATCTCTACTTAATTTCACATTTGACAGATTTTTTTTCTCTCAATTCTGTCGTCTCTGTGTTTTTATCCAAACTATGAAGAGTTCCTGGATGATTTTCCATTCCTCCAGCCTGCTTCAAACCAGAGCTACGTCCCGGATGGCGTGCTTCCACCTGGAGAGCCCTGGCTCCATGGCGGCCCCTCTCGGGCGGTGCTGTCCCTGCCTTCCTGCCTCAACCTCTTCAGCGGCGTCGGGTCAGAAATGTCCGGACCAAGCTCCCCTGGAGAAGAGCAAAGTGAAGAGATGAAGGTGTACGCCAGGTGTCACCTTCAGCAGGGAGTCATGTTTGGACCGTATGTAGGAGAAATGTGCAGAGGACAAATGCCAACCAACCTCAAATATGCCTGGGCTGTAAGTACACTCATGCTGTGCTACTTTTACACTTTAAATTGAATGAAAACCCATGATGTATTTTGTGACTTGACTTGGAAGTCCATATCAAATTGATCATGGAAATAGTTGAAATACACATTTCTCCCATTTCCAGATCAGGGACGATGCTGCTTTTGTGTATGTGGATGCTTCTGATGAAAACAAATCTAACTGGATGAGGTGGGTTGTTCTTAATGATTTTTGGTATGTTGCTCTCTTAAATCAGTGTATTTTACCCCTTCTGCCCTCATAATCAAGTCCAACAATTACTCCCATTGTGTTTAATTTGATCACTGCATTAGTTTGAGTACAGCTTACAGTAGAATATCATATTATGTATGTTTTGTCTCAGGTATGTAACATATACCAGTAATGAGGAAGAGCACAACCTAGTCATCTTCCAGTTTTACCGCCATATCTATTACAAGGTGACCCAGCCAATCACAGAGGGTGCAGAGCTCAAGGTGTGGATCGGCAAGGATTATTCCACCTTGTTGGGCCTCGGGATGGGTGAGTTCACTCACTGAAGCTTGGAAGTTGCGTTTGGTTGTCTGGTGGATCTCACTTCAATTTATTTTGGTAATCATATTATGCATTTATTTTGGCGGGGTGATACAGGTGACAATGTGAAATGTCAATTTGGAGACAAGGAGGCGGTTCTACGTCTTCTGCAGGACATCCAGTTAGTTACCCTTCCAGAGCCCAGCAGCTCCTCCGTTTGGTCAGACCACAGCCAATCACAGAGCCCCATGCCTGTCATCAGTGATGTGACCACTGTGTCAAACCCTGATGCAGTTTGTGATTCAGGTATAGCATCTGGATCGTCCTTTCCTTCCTCCTCCCTCATGTCCTTCCCATCGCCCGGCTCTCATCCATTTGAAAAGTATGAATTTGTCCCTGGAACCGAGAAACTGCTGAGCAACCCGAATGTGACCCAGCAGAGCCCGTGGTACTTTTTTGGGTTGGAGCCTGACCAGGCCGGTCGACCTCTTGACCGGAACACTGCAGTGTGTAAGCTGTGTGGGGAACGTGTGGGCTGTGGAGGAAGAGCATCAGATCTCCAAAACCATCTGAGCAACAAGCACCACATCAGACCTCGTGACACTAATAAGGATCGGACCCTTCCTCCAGCAGGTGAAAAAAACAAAAATGCTTTTTGTGTTGGAAAAAAATGTAACGTCTGTTCTGTCCAAAACCTAAGCAGTGAAAGTGTTTTTTTTAACAAACTATGAGTCATGTTAAATTATCTAAAGCAGTGGTTCTAAACTGGTATAGTATCAGGACCCACCAACAACTCCTTAAAGTCTTAATATGTGATTTTTCACTCTTCAATGTAATAGAAATCAAGTATATCCTCTGAAAATAACTCTGTGAGTCATGACTGTCTACAATGGGTGTAACACCTGAGTCCCACTGTCTGTGATGTTTTCAGAGTTTTCAGAGTCCTATCTTCACTTTGTTTACATCGCCGGGACGGCCAGCTGACTCCTCCCCTCACGTATAAAAGTTGTTTAATTGAGGGACTAGAGAAAAGAAGAATAACATACTGTACTCACTGCTTAACTGTGTTTCTAGATCACGCTCATTTCAGGTCAATTTACATGCAGTGTGAAGATACCAGCATAATAAAGATTGCTAGCATTAGCATGCTAACACAACAAAGCACCGCCAGTTGTTTTGGTTTCATGCAGGTGCTCAAGGGCGACACCTGCTGGATCAAAAAATCACATATAAAGCCTTTAAAGTGAAATCGTGACCCAAATATCTGAAATGTTCTAATCATATTTATATAATGAAAATGGCGCTGTTTGGATCTCAGATAATAAAAAGTTTAAATATTGCTTTATAGACTATTTTACACATTTTTCTTCCAGGCACACATTTGAGACCCACTGTAACAGCCCTTCGACCCATTTTTTGAAGACCCGACCACCACCAGTTGAAACCCAATGATCTGGATATTTTACTGAAGCTTGGTTTAGCAATTTGTTTAGAAAGTAAATTAAATTATGTTAAATTGTAAATAAAAAGAAAAGATACCAGCTAAACTCAAGTATTGGCCAAATAAATATCTTGACCAAATGATGAGTAGATGGATAGGCATAGCATGACTGAAATGATAAATGTCCTTAGTATAAAACATAAATCCATTTGATATTGTGTTGTTATTGAGTTGTTTTTCTTGGGACCACTATGATGAATCAACTCACTGGGAAACCTTCACTTTTGTCGAGAGCACCTAGCAGCCCAGCTGATAGCATGGCTAAAATATAAGATCAAAATCTGAGGTGTGACCACCCTGAAACTCTTTTGTTGTTGCTGTTCTGAATCACCACTGGTCTCAATGTGTTGCAGAAAACGATTTTTTCAAAAGCCCATAAACTGCTTTAGTTCAAATTGTGCCACGGTTTGAACAGGCTTTTTCAAATGTGTTCTCAATCTGTTGAAAGTTTTTACTGATTGAAGTTTTTTTTGCTCTCACAGCATGTCAACAACGGCCTCAGCCAGCAATGAGTAACAGCAGCCCGGTTAGTACCCTCCCTCTGGTTTTGTCTGTCCATGTGACTAATGCCATCACCAACTTTGTCATCATGGATCTCCAGCCCCCGTCTCTGGTAGAAGGAGAAGGTTTCAAACAGCTCATCCACACCCTCCTGCCCTTCTACAAGGAGATGCCTGTAACCTGTCAACTGGAGAACCTCCTGAAAGAACACCACACCAGAGGCAGGACAAGCCTGGCTCAGCTGCTGAGGGGGGATGTAATGAAGGAAGAAAGTGAGGAAACAGATTACACTGCTCCCATTGACTTTGAGCCCAGGAGACGTGGCCGACCTCCAAGCCAAAGAAAGGAAAGTCCACATTTTGTCACTTTAAGTGTGACTGACTGGTTCCACAACTGGCAAGGCAACACTGAGAGATACATCACCCTCTGGGCACATTTCATAGACAGCGATTTCAGTTGTCAGAACTTCGCTCTGGCAACACAAAGGCTGACTGAGAATGAGGTGGAGGCTCAGGTGAAGGCGACGGCCCAGGAGTGGGGAATCTCAAAGCCCAACCTGCTCTTGCTGGGAGGGGAAAGGAAAGAGAAGGGGATGGGGATGGGTCAAAAAGGGATTGGGAAAGGTGAAGAGGCTGCAGGTCTGACTCATCCTAACTCGACAACGTTTCTTGAGAAGGACGACTCTGCATCGCCCGAGGAACAAAGTGGCTCGACACACGGAGCGTCGAGTGAAGGATTACCGTCCGTGCCGTGTTTCTTCAGCGCTGTTCAACGCTGCAACGAGGAGGTGATGTCACACAGTGTCATTTCCAAGACCCTAGGACAATTCCAAGACATGCTGTCAAATCTCTTCCTGCCACAGGAACAAAACAAAGGCATGTTTCAGCACCATGTCGGCAGTATCATGCAGGTGCTTACAAAAGAAGAAGTGTCAGAGCTGAAGTCGTGGGCACACACGTGTCCAACGTGGAACAAACTCTATCCTGTCCTGAGCATACTCATCAAACACAAAAGCCTTTTCTGTGAAACCATCAAAGAGATTAAAGAGGAGTATAAAGAAGACACTGCTTCAGAATCCAGTTCATCTGGCAGCTGTCACGCCAACTCCACCTCCAACTCGTCATCAGTGAGCTTCACCACCTTAAAGTCCGAGTGGAAGGTTCTGGAGGAGCTGTGTTCGGTTCTCAAACCGCTGGATGTAGCGTGTCGAACTCTCGCCAAGGAGGCGTTCCCTCGCCTGTCCCTCATCAAACCCATTCTCACCGGCCTGCTCTCCCGCCACCTTGTGCCACGGCCGGGAGATTCCTCGACCATCCTGAAGGAAGTGAAGAGGATGATGAGGCGTAACCTGTCGAGCTGTTATGACAACCCGGCTGTGAACAGGGTTCTGTGTGTGGCATGTTCCCTCGACCCCCAGTTCCACGGTCTCGGGTTCATGGCCGAGAAGGTGAGTCATAAAGTTTAATGAGATACAAAAAAAAATTAAAAATGAGGAGGGATTGGTCTGTCTGCTACACTCGCCCAAGTGTCATTATTTGAATGTATTGTTATTATACTCTAATTAATTATAAAGATAAAGATAAACTTTATTGATCCCCCATGGGGGACATTTGTTTTTGTCACAACAGCTCAAGAAACAGGAATATAATTATCAAAAATAACAAGAAGTTAAAAACCAAACATATGTACATCAGTTAAATAAAGGGAGGAAATTATCAAATGAATGGTCCATTATTGATTCGAAGGAAGACAAAAGCAGACGCTTACATTTTTTTGACTTAAGAGCGCAAAGTTTCTCCCATGATATAACAATTGTTGATTGCAAATTAAAGCAGCTAAATGTAACTAGCTAAGAAAACTACTCTTAGCTCCATGAGTGAGCTACATGTCCGACACAAATTTCAATCATACCTCTGCAGTTGATTAGAAAACATGAAAACAATTCTAGTTTTAGTATAACACATATGTAAAGGAAAATTACAAGATCAGACTTTGAACTCTAGATTACTTTTCAAAGAAGTAGGAAGAATCTTAATCTTAGCTATCAGATACCCTCAGACGAACAGCTTCCAATGTAGAGGTGGAAAAACAAACATGTTTCAAAACCATGAAGAAGCAGCAGATCCAAACCTCGAGTTATAACTGATACGCACTCTTTAATTTGTGTTTATCACAACTCATATGCTTTAACATTTTGCTGATAAGGTACAAAATAATACATACAAATCCATCAAAATGCTGGAAAAAAAATGTTCTGGTGGAGGTTTTCAGAACCTTAAACTTGGTGCCAACTTTAAAACGACAACTGTTGAAATATTTATCTTCATTCACCAACATGCTGTTTTAAAAAAGAAGAAATATTTTAAATAAACTTGTAGGCAGTATTTGTGCTCTAAACATCCAATGTTTAAATGATAAATATCTATCTGTTTCCTTTATTTAATCCTCCAGATTTTGAATGCATTACACTTTCATATGTAAAGAGAGATGTCCCATTCCTGTGCTAATGTGCTTTAAAGTTATTTGCTTGGAAGACTGAATCAGACAAACTTCTGAGCCTAACCTTGATCTGTTTGTTTTCAAATACTTCATGTGACTTGTTTTCTTCACTGAATGGAATCAAAGTTACAACAATATATGCAAATAAGGACACATTTGAACTGAAGTTTTATTTCTTTTTAAGGAGCAGAAAGCCACTTTTGATTGGCTAAAGGCCGAGGCTGTCAGAATCGTTAAGGAGGACAGAAGGAGAAACAGAGGTAAGAGGCGGAGCCACAGCAAGAGAAGCCCTTCACCGAGGTCACCGGATTCAGACAGCGACTCCCTCCGGAGGAGCAAGCGCCTCAAAGAATCCCGCCCGATCAACTTCAGGGAGATCGAGGATGAAGATGAAGAGAGTGATGAAGAAAAGCCTGATGAGAGTGAAGAGGCAGATCCAGGTGGTCAGGGTGGTGGGCTCTCGGGGATGGAGTTCCTCCTGGGAGACCTGTTCTCCTCCGCCCCCAAGAGCAAGCAGAACTCTGTTGAGGAGTCTGTGGACATGGAGATGTCCGTCTTCAGAGCTGACAAGGGAGCATCGCTGGGTGTCGAGCCCCTGCAGTGGTGGAGGACGAAGGCTGTGCAGTTCCCTCTGTTGGCTACAGTTGCCCGGGCCTACCTGGCTGCCCCAGCAGTGGCAGGCAGCGCCGCACAGGACTTTGTGCAGTACGGAGCACAATCCACCTACAGCAAGAGAGCCAACATTCCCCCTGAGAGTTTGGACTCAATCCTGTTCCTGCACCACAATCAAATGCTCACAACTGAGAGAGGGGAACTAGCAGTGAAGAATGAGTACTAGACAAGCCGGGTTGAAAAGGTCCTATGAACACACAGAAGACATGTATTCCTTTTTTTTATAAGCTCTGGAGTTCACCCTCTGTCCAGTTCTATCCAGGACCTGAACAACAACTGAAGTGTATTTGGTGACCTAATTAAGCATTCTCAATTATTCATCCTCTCAAAAGAACAAGGTCAATAGTGATAGATATATAGAATAGCTATATGTCAGGACGTCTCCCTGTCTAACCTGTCAGTTCTGAGGTTTCAAGGAGGGTCAACTCAACATAACAAAGGAGAAATAAAGACCATCCCCTATAAAAACACAGACTCTGTTGTGGCGTGTCCTTGTAAATGCACCTTCTTCTTCTGTCTGTTTTCATTTGGTAGCATTTGGTTTTGATTGTTTTGTTTTTTTGATATCCTACAACATTTAAAACAATCCTCTTCCTAATGCTACTCACCTGTTGTTGCTGGCAGGCAGGTTGAGCTGTTGTGTCTGCAAACAAGCACAAAGGGGAAGGGGAATTGTCAGGGAAAAGAAAAAGCAAGGTGAATAGATCAGGCTGGTTGTTGAATAAAAACTAACAAAGTGAAGAGTTCAAGTAGAATTAAAATGGTGAAATAAAAAAGAACTACTAGAAATAGGTGTCTGTATGCTCAATGTTTTCCATCCATAAACACCCAGTTAATGTTTGTGCTACCACTGCCTTCATGTTTCAGAGGCAGTCTATCACTTGATTGATTCACGATATATAATGTGACTGATCCAGCAAATTATTAATTGTAATTCAAGGTTGGGGTTTGTATTTGATTGGAAGAAACTTTAACAATCTAAAGTTTCACTGATTTTACTCTTCTTTTTTTTTTTTTACCTCAATTTTAAAAATCATTCAAGGTTTAAGACATAACCTTAAAGATGTACCCCCCCTCCCTTTCCCCCACATGTACATTTGTATAACCTCTCCACTAAAAATGAAACTGAAAAAATCAGTTACATCCCGTGTACAGCTTGGACTGCTTTACTCCTATATGTTGCAGCATCTATGAAGTACCTTGTAGCCTTGTGCCTTAGCAAACAGTTGTAGATGTCCAAAGTATAAACGACAGGGTGGAGATTTTCAAAACATAAAGAAAGTCCTTCATGGAAGTACTGTGATCGTGGAGTGAGACTGCTACCATGTGCCTTTCCTTATGTTTGACCACTTGTTTATTCTGATTGGCCCGACCCCTTCTTGGCTTTGACTCTGATATTCTTATATATTCATGTTGGTGTCTTTGTTTGGAGGTCTTAATACCTTTCACATCCTGTTTTTGAAATAAAATATTTCAACATTTGCTGTGTGGTACTGATTAGATCTGACAGATGGTGTGTGGACATAGCACAGGGTAAAGGAAATGATTGGTTCACTGTGGTCATGTACAGCATATAGCTTGTAAAATCTCAGACATTTCAGTGAACGAGACGAAACCATTCGACAAACAAACACATGTTTTAAGCAGCACACTCATTCTGTTTAATACAAAACATTTAAAACATCAATCTGTTTTCACATGAAAATGACAAATTGTATAAGAGCAAATACATTACAAAATGTATGAAAAATGTAAAAAAAAGGATACATTTTTTGTCCTAAAGTCACATATTGAACAAAATACACTTAATGTTTTTGTAACACTAATATGTGTCTCTAGTCTGTAGACTAACCCTCCAATTATGAGAAAAGTCCATCCACTCCGTCTTTTTCCTGCTCCACTTCTCAGAAAATGTGTGCTCAAACAGGCCGTTTGGAGATTTTCCCTTCATGACATCACAAAGGGCAGTAACCCCTCCCCAAAGTGGATGACACTCCCACAGCTAGGTGATTGTTCTGCCCTCTGAGCACTGTAACAGGTGTGCACGGTGCAAGAAAACTCAAGCCCTTCCAGGGACACAGAAACAGCCTGAGATCGAGGGGTTTATAGATCAAATACAGGATCAGAGTGGATTTAGAACAAAGAAAACTTCAAGGACCTTTGAGACTTATTTAAAATTGTTGCTAAGGAGTATAATATGTGACCTTTAAAATTCTTAACAGAAGCAGACACACCAGTGAGATTATATATAAAAAAGCATTTGAAACCTAAAAGTCAGGTTTCATAACACATTTTAAAAACACTTATTTGACAATGTAATGTATGTTTTCTATAATTTAGCTTCTGCCATTATGGTGCCTCTGTCATCCTTGGTCAGATGTTGGTCCTCTTTGTTGCGTGCGACTCTCCTGCAGTGGAAGAAGATGTATGCGGGATGGATGAACACCAGCAGAGTGAGAAGGATCAGAGCAATGTCCACCTGTAACACACCACAACCACAGGTCTCCATTTGTCTGCACTCATTTACTATATCTGCCTCCTCCTGACAGTTTGACTGTTTCATGTGAACACACAGTAGAAACTGACACATTTAAAAAGTCAGTGCATCTTGAAATGTATTCATGTTTCTCTTTCTACACCAGGACAGGATATTCCCTCTCTGGCCTCTCTTTTCTAAAACTACTTGAGAGTTCTTTAAACTCACATAAAAGGGGTCGCTGCCAAGAGCTCCTTTGACAAGGGCGAAACAGGGGTACTGCAGCAGGGAGAAAATAGCAGACATGGACATCACCATGCCATACAGCTTTCCGAAGTGAGCTGCTGGAAAACTGAGGGAGATAAGAGAGAGAAATCATTTGTTAAGACTTGATGTCCATCTTTCTTACTACAGAGTAAATATTGCTACAAAAGCAAGCTGAGATTTTCTTCAGTGTATACTTAAATTATCATAATGCCATAAGTACTCAAGTAATATCCCTCTGGTTAACAGGCTGCTTAAGTAGACCTCTATCTTGATGGGAGCACACACCCTAACAGACAGCACAGCTTTCTTGTCTGTTTAACACAGAATTAACAACATTTATATCATGCTCCATAGAAAATGATTCCGCTTCAGACCACCATAGCTTTACCATAAATTGCTTGGGAAATTGTTTACTGAAGCAATGAATCAAGTGAGCAGTGAAGGTCATTCTCTGGTAGGTTTGCACAAAGTGGTAGTCTCCCCCTGCTGGCTGTTTTGAAATCAACAGGCTAATTCACCTTATCTTCAGTCTATGACACAGACTGCCTAATACATATCAGAATATTTTACACTACATATCCATGTTAATGCCTCAGGATTTTATAAAAAATAATTTACATTCTCAAACCTGCTCCAAAAGTAATTGATGACATTATCAGGGTGAATTTTTCGACACTAGAGAGCTCACTCCAGAGTCAAGAAGGGGAAGTTCAATCTCATCACATCAGAATGAGTAGTACATCTTCTGACAATTACAATTTTTTTAAGACAGGACAAAGACTCATTGAAGTCACGATTACAGAGGCATGCTGTAGGGTATGTCAACTATACATTCAATATTCTTTATTGAGTGTTGTTTTCAAGTCAAACAACATACCAGCAATTACAGCAGTTCTAATGTACTGTAACAAAGACTGATCATAAACCTGGAAAAGTTGATAACCTGCCACAGTACCCTGGTATTTATAGGAGTACCTCAGGTACCAGGATGTGATGTTTATAGACTACACATAACCATGATATATGACAACAAATAAATAAAAAACTATCGGATAGAAAGGCCTCGTTAGAAAACAAAAAACTTTGACATGTGACATTGAGGCCAGATAGTCACTGCTGGAACTGAAATATGAAATGCTTTAACCCAAGTCTGTGTAAGTGGTGATTGATTTATTTGTGGGGCTTTTTTGTTTTTTATGTATGTGTGTGTAACAACTACTCACGCGATGCTAATGAACGCTGCAGTTCCCCCATAAAGGAAGGAGCGATTGAGGACTTGCAGAACAAAGGTGAGGTACTGCAGAGGGAGGAAAGGAATAGAGGCGCACACTGAGAACAGCAGGCACATCAGGCAGGTGAGGAATAGAGACAGAATGGAGGAGCGCAGGTCCGCCTCCTGCTCTGTCTCTCCTACAGTGGGTGAAATAGTTGAAAGGGATTGTTGAAAGTTGCTTTCTCACAGACATAAAGTTCAAACACTAGTCAGTGATTTACCAGGAGCCAGAGGCTTCCCCTTGTGTCGGTCCAGGATGAGTCCATTCCAGGGAGCACACAGCACCCCACACAGCTGGGTCATGGCAAAAGCATTAGTGTACTGACTCACTGAGGGAGATATCATGACAGCAACAGTGAGCAACAAAGAGACAAAAAAAAGATTTGAGGTTGGATTGTGATGATTGGAAGAGAAGAATGGAAATGTCAGTGAGATAAAAAAGATTGTACTGTACATGCCAGTCAGTTAGTATGTAGGACAGAAAGTCAATAACTTTTCTAATGAGTTACCCAGGTCAGGGTCATTGTCTGCCAGCCGGGTGAGCCTGGGGTTGAGTGTGCCAATGAAGAGGTAATGTCTCAGCTGCATTACAGACAACCACATCAGGTGTAACATGAAGAACCAGGACAGCAGACAGCTCCGGAAACTTGCCACTAAACATGCAGAAAATTGTATAAATATCTCCAAGCAACTGTACCTGATACAGAGAAAGAACAGAAAGTGTGTGAACCTGCATCAGCTCTGGAAGCTATTACTCCAATTGACTGTATATTTACATCGCAAACAGTTGATATGTATGTATAAGAAGGCCTACAATTTATCATGTTTTAAATATTTTCTTTACAAATTTTCAGTTTTGCAAATGAATATCACAGTTACAGTTTATCCTCATGCACCATGGAATAAAAAAGGACGCAAAGGAAGACAACAATAAGAAAAAAAGACAAAACAGACACAACTAAACAAAGCAAAACAAATATTTGCTCTTAGGACCCCAAACAATACAGTTACAGTAACAACATAATTAGCCTTGTGTCACCTTGATTCAGGCCACTATACATAAATGCATGGTGCATATATGCAGATTCAACACATCTGTTTGTACAAACAGTGAAACACTTTAGATTGTTCTTGATTAGTAAAACCAAAAATGGCTGCTCACTTACTTATTTAGGTTGTTGATATTCATGGGAGAGAAAGAGAGAGAGAAGTGCTTCTTTTTCTCTTTGACAATTTTGTACTACAACACACATCCTAATAATGATCGTGTTCCACTGCACTCTTTGAAAAGGACGTCTGCTAAAGGCTCTTACTATGATCTGAAAGAAACATTGTTTGACCTGAGCCAGCTGTTTCACGTCCTTGTTCTAGTAATTAGAAGACTATTTAATTGAAGATTTAAAAAATGGCACATGTCTTCCCATTACAATAAACACAATAAATCTTTGGTCTTAAGTGCACCTTAGAACATTAGACCGGATAAAAACTGCACACTGAAATGACAGTGTGGTAGAGTTGAATACAGTGACAGTGAGTGGCTGGAGAGAAGCCCTTGTGCATATCCCTCCTTATTGACATAGTTGTAGTCTGTTTGGAGAAACATACCTTTAGCCTTTGACTAAAACAGTGACTAGGAAAAACTGGGTTTGACATGAACTTGTAAACTTTTAACAGTTATTTTCTACGTCTGTACACACTATGTATTGTATGAAACATATTGGTAATAATGTTTGTTTTCTTTTCACCGATTTCAGCTTCTTATATGTTCACACAAAAGCTTGAAAATGACTTAAAGAGGGGCGCCCCGGGCTGAGTGGTTGGTCTGCATGCCCCATGTAAAAAGGCTATAGTCCTCAATGCGGGGGCAACCCAGGTTCAAATCAAACCTGTGCCTCCTTTCCCACATGTTATTTCCCACTCTCGCTCTCTCTCCCTCTCCTCCCGTTCTTCCGACTCTGTCCCTTGTCCCTTCTCACCAATAAAGGCACAACAGTCCAAATATAAATCTTGTAAAAAAAGAGGGAGATTTTAAAAAAGGCTGCTTTATTTTTTAAATCTCTCATGTCTATGTGTACTTCATTTTTTATGGGGGAGTTTTACTGAATATACATGGCTGAGGTGGGAAATCAATGGCAAAAATAGAAGAACTAGTACCTTCTTTCCCTGAGTCTTGAGCATCTGTCCCATCTTCAGTTACTGTGGGCATGTAGTCTTTCTCGCTGGACTCCTGTGAACATGTCACGGCCCCCTCTCGCACTCTCTCAGACTGCTCTTCATTGTAGGTGATGTCCTTTCCGCAATCCAATCTGAAGAGCGGGAAAAAAATAGAACGTCTATGTCTTTTTCAAATGCATGTAGATGATCTTCAACTGATTCTGAAGCTGTTTAATAGATAAGTAAATGTTCTCACCCGTAGGTGTAGTCTTCTTGCACCGTGTAGGGGATGTGGGTTCTTGGCATCAGCACAAAGGTTCTCACCAAATGTATGATGCTGCAGAAGGACAAAACAAGGAAGGAGGCACGGAGAGAAACTTCCTGTTCATACATAACCTGGAAAGCAGGGGAAGAAACAAGCAGGAATTAGATAATACCAATTTGTCAAAGCTGATGATCATCTTGTTTTACTAAAGTAAGTAAAAATACACAAGGACTGTATGTTCAGAAAGAAGAGATCATAACACATTTTCTGCCACTCCATTTATGGATTTGATTCAAGAAAGACCAGAATGTTCTTTTCATGCTGTTACTGTAGGAAAGATTATCTTAAGACTATGTAGATTTCTCTTGTTATTGATCAAAACTGTGATCTGAAGTCTACATGTTTCACTTTGTTGTTAATGGTTTTTGTTCTACCTCTTTGGAGCAAGCTGTCTTACATTAGTTAGTAATCAATGATTAAGTGCAGCCTACAATCCTGCACTGTAAATGCCCTGAAGAGCTGTTTTTGTGTTGTGACAATTACCCTTCTAGTAAATGATTTGAAGATACTGCTTCAATTTTAAAATGATAATGTCTACAGTGACACTTGTGCAGTTCTTTACCTTGATGAGGAGAAACACAGCAGAAGAGGAGTCAAAGGCACCATTGTAGAGGGTAATGATGGTGGAGCGATGAGCAGGGAACAGGTTCCCTATCTTCCAGACACACAGAAGAGCAATTAAGCAAAACTCTCTGAAGAGCTTAACCAGTGGAGAATATTTATTTGCTCAGATATTTAGTTGCATACTGAAATACAGAATTTACCTGCATGTTAGTTAGAAGGAAGAGAACTCCTCCAACAGCGATGCAGGACAGCGCCGGAAAAAGCATGTTGGAAAATTCTGCAACAGTAATAGATCAAGTTTACAGCCCTTCAGATGTTTAACAAATCCCTGACAAATACATAAAAAAACTGAACAAAGTGTAACAGGTTTAGAATATGGTGGAAATGTAACATACTTTCCCATTTCAAAGGATGATACACCAGTGAAAAAAGAGATGAAGACGTGGAGGTGAAAGTGTAATCTCCTCACAGTTTTTTTTCCCAAATGTCAAAAATACATTGGACTCAGAATGGTATGGTATGGTATGTTGTGGTATAGCATGGTATAGCATGGCATAGCATGGCATGGTATGGTATGGTATTTTGTTGTATTGCATGATACAGTATGGTATGGTATGGTATGGTATGGTATGGTATGGTATGGTATGGTATGGTATGGTATGGTATGGTAGTGGTATGACATGGTACAGTATGGTATAGCATTGTATGGTGTGTATGGTATGGCATGGCATGGCATGGTATGTTGTGTTATGGTATGGTATGGCATGGCATGGCATGGTATGGTATGGCATGGCATGGTATGGTATGCTGTGTTATGGCATGGTATGGTATGGTATGGTATGGTATGGTATGGTATGGCATGGTACAGTCTGGTATGGTATGGTATGGCATGGCATGGTATAGCATGGCATGGCATGGCATGGTATGGTATGGTATGGTATGGTGTGGTATGGTATGGTATGGTATGGTATTGCATGGTACAGTCTGGCATAGCATGGCATGGCATGGCATGGTATTTTGTGTTATGGTATTGTATGGTATGGTATGGTATGGTATGGCATGGCATGGTACAGTCTGGTATGGCATGGCATGGTATGGTATGTATTTTGTGTTATGGTATGGCATGGCATGGTATGGGATGGTATGGTATAGTATTTTGTGGTATGGCATGGTACAGTATAGTATAGCATGGCATGGCATGGCATGGCATGGTATGGTATAGATAGTATGGTATGGTATGGTATGGTATGGTATTTTCTCTAACAGTGAAGACAGATACATAAACTACTAGAAAGTGTAACTTGGCTAAATGTTTGTGTGAATATGCCTGTGAACCTACCAGCAGTCGAAAAGGCCACAAGTAGAGTTCCAGTTGTGTGCAAAGATCTGGAGAGAGAAATTTGACTGAATGTAGTTCAGGGTAAAATATTGAAAGTTTACGATGAAGCCATATTTAGAGCAATTTATGTGTCTGGAAATAGTTTAGCTGGTTATGGCTGAAATGATTATGATTTATTCATAATTTTGGACATTTGCTGTTTTTTATTTGTGATTTGTTTATCCCAGATTTGTTTATATCTTTTAAAACACATTATCACAGTATGGGTGTTTTCATCCAAAGGTTCTTTATCTTGATGACCTGTATAACATTATCTAAAGATATGCATCCACTTGGTCCATGAGGAGTAAATAAGTAACCCAAAGTGTAAATGTATAACGCTAAAACTCTTGAAATCAACAGTCCTTACTGTCCTGGGACAGAGCAGCTTTTAAAAGGGCTTTGAACATCATCTTGCAAAGAGTTGCATAACATAAGTGCAGGCACGTGTTTTCAGTGAAATGTAACTTCTATGGATAAAAAGTCAGGGGGTCAAAGGGGTTGTGACCAACTGTAGCTATGTCTGAACTAGGATCGTCAGGTCTGGTACTACTTTTCTTGAAAAAGATTCAGGGAGGAGTTTTTTTCTTCATTTTTTATGTTTATTGCTTTATTATTATTTAATGTTATTTCTTTAATCTGTACTGTGCCAAAAATGTCAAATAAAAAGATTCAGGGTTTTAAACAACAAAAACAAGGCGTTCTTGTAGGGTATAGGGTTATCTTTTGCCTGACTTATATCAATCGATCTCCATTAGACACTCCCTACTGTTATCTCTGCAACCCTTACTGGTCCCCCCACTGAACTGAAGAGCAAACTGGAACATACATTTGACTTCATGGATCCTGTCTGTGTATCATGCATTTAATAGTGACTTTTTTCACCCTGAAAATATATATTTTTTCCAATTGAACTTACAAATCTTTTGTTATTGCCCTTTCAAGAGCGTGTGTTTTAAAAAAAATAGAATAAACACAAGGAAAATATGAGTTTGTCAGTCCACTATCAAAGTTAACTTACATTCCCAGCAGCCTGGTTACCATGGTGCCGAATCGATCAAACAGGTAACCAGTGATTAGATTAATGAAGTTGTTTAGGAATGATGCGATAGTGAAGATCAGAGAAAACTGCTCATCCTGTATACTGCAGTCTGTAAAGAAAAGAGACACAGAGACATATGGTGGGCTATTGAGCAAACTGGTAGTGGGCAATGCAATGTGTCTGCTGAAAACAGTAATTGAACTTGAATAGGATGATTATGTTGCTCTTTGCTGGGTGGTAACATGGAAATATATATGCCAAGGCGAACCCTCTGATGGAGGTTATTGTCAGTGGGTTATTTGTCAATTTTTAACTGGGGCTATGGCCAAATAGAAGATAAAGAAGTCAGTTTAAGGATCAATGAGCCGTCATCACTGAGGCTAGTAGTCAAAACCCAACTAGTTAATCACAATTTAGAATAAAAAATACAACTAAACAGAGCCAGCTGGGTTTCTAACAAGGTAGACAGTCTCATTTTGCCAACAAGCAAGATGACCCAAAGATGGTCATCATTTGGTTTGGAGTTGTTGTGCCTCAGAGCGAACAAAATGTACCCATGCAGCTAATATGGACAGTAACAGTTCTTTTTGTGTGTGCTTCTAATCACCTTCAAAACCTTGAATCCAGAGTGTCTTACCTGTACTGTTGGAGCCTGGGACGCTGACACACAGATCACTGAAGTAGCCATCCTTCTTTAGCACAAACACCAGAGAGGCAAATCCAAACACCAGACCAGCAAAGCACAGGCACTCCAGCATCCCTGTGACCAGAGTCAGCCTGTAGCGCAGCTTGGTACCATCTCCGCACCGCTGCATGCTGCAATCCCCTTCTCCACGTCGCCCGTTGTCTCAGATTGTCGGATTGTCTTTCTTTCTCTTTTTTTTTCTTCCTCTTGCACTATGTCTTCTTTACGCAGGACAGAAAAAGGACTTTGCCGGATTCAAGTTTCTACGATGCAGAAGAAAAAAACAAACAGGTGTCAGCCCAAATTGGACAATATGGAGCATACTGCTCCGCGCATTAGCAACAGATGATCCAGGACTTAACTGTATTAGTAAAGAGTTTGAATGGATAAGCACATATGTCAACAGATTTATCAACAGCATTTGTAATGTGTTTAAAACAAAAGATGAATATTGTACAATGTGTGGAGATGATGCTGAATACATCCTACATGTATTTAATAATGAATAATGTGAGCCATTAAAACAGTAACAAGCAGAGTTATGTTGTCCTCTGCTGCTTGAGGGTCCAGTGTCCAGTTTACACTGTAGGGTGCCACACTGCAGCTGCAGAATGTGAATCATGTATATTGACACTAGAGTCATCAGTGTCCACAAAGCCTGCTAAGAGAAACTCAAACTGACTCTACTCAAACTGATCACTTCAAACTTGATATCCAGAATTAAAATACTGAATATCTGCTTACATCAAATCAGTCTCTCTGGCATAAACATCTGAAGCTGCTCCAAACACACACACACACACACACACACACACACACACACACACACACACACACACACACACAACTGCTGTTTTCTTGTCTTTTTGCAATCAGATTTTGGGTACTAGAATGTATTATCCAGTACACAATATCTGTCGTTTAAACCAAATAGTAGGCAAAGATGAGCTTTCCTCAAACTGCTCCAAACTTGAGGCAACACAGTAAATGATTCTTTAAATAAAACAGTCTGTAAAACAGTACAAAGACTTCAGCAGAGGTAGTTTGAAATAAAGGACTTTATTGTAATTGCAAGTTACAGTTTAATGCTAGTTTAATAAATGCTAAAGGTTTATTTCCACTTAAAAGAGAGGGGGGAGGGGGTCTATATGTTTTTTTTTCTGTTTCTTGTCTCTTGTGAACATGCGGACAGAGCGGAGGTTATCTCCACGCTTTACTCACTCTAATCCAGATTACATCACTTAATCTACGCGCATTGACACATGGCAAAGTGTTGACACAAAACCGCTACAAATTATACAATTATAATAGATTTACATATCGTTTGTTGTGTTTTTTCATTGAACACAACAACATTTGGAGTGTATTAACGCCTGTACATATGATACCTGTAATATCTCTGTTTTTCTCAGTGGAGCTGCAGCAGCTCACTTGAGTGAAGAAGTCATTGCTTAATTCCTTTTAAACCCTGATGTACCAATTCCATTTTTAAGTGTCTTACCTTGTAAATTCCTGTTGAACCAAACATCCATTACAGATGTTGTGAACTCCGCAGGACAGAGATGCGCCGTGCACCCAGCGAGCCGCACTTAGTTTGTTTTCTGTGCAGAGCTGCGCCTCTCACCCAGTCTGTCACAGAGCCAGCTGTAACTGCAACAGGTGGACACGGGGCGGGAAACCACATTTACATGAGTCTCACTAAACTGGTCATTCTCATTAACGGGTTGATTGAGAATTATTGGCTAATCCTACAGATTTACAATCACGTAGCTCGCGTTTTAATGACATAAGGACACCTCTGCTATTTAATTAAGAACTATTAATGCTTCATAAACTCATCAATGACCAGCAGTAACAATTGAATGATTTTTAGAGTCCACTAGGGGGTCTTTATAATTATGATTGCATTGGCTTTCATTATGTTAACCAATGATGGCCACTGTTCATTTACTGCATATTGACTAGTTTAGCTGGAAATGTTTCTAAGCAAAGATAAATATAAATAAATATACTCATCTTATATGAACATTGCTCTGTGGTTTGACTGTGTCATGCAACTGCATGTTTTTCTGCACCACTGTATGCTTGTATGTAAGACATAGTACAGTGGATACTGTGTGTTATATGTCAAGCTGCACCACTAGAATTAGAAAATCACAGAGGGTAAAAATAAATAAATACACAGACAAAAGAGTGCATATTGAAAAAAGAAAATTACATTACAGCAGGTGCTCCAAGTGCATTTTTTAAATGTAAAACTGAAATACATTGAAATATTGTAGAATTCTTAGAACACAGCATTGCACATCTCTACTCATTCATTTCATGTTTTAAATGAAAAGTTTGTATAAACATGCTATTAAATGTTTCTATTAAATACTCCTCACCCCACAATCCTCCGCACGAAGCCTCCACTCTGGAAACACCAACCTCCTCCATCCCCCAGGACTAAACTCCACACCATGGGTGACCGGGCCTTCTGCTCCTCTGCTCCCAGTCTGTGGAACGCTCTCCCTGACCAGCTGAGGGCTCCACAGTCTGCTGATGCTTTTAAAAGGGCCCTAAAAACCTTTTTAACACTTAGCCTTCTGCTTGTGCTTTTAGTTTCGTTAGTTGCTTAGTTGATGAAATTTGTTTTTATTTGTTTTTGTTTTTTTTCCCTGTAGCATTTTTTTTGCAAAAATGTACAGTGCGTTACAAATTAAATGTATTATTATTTTTATTATTATTAATAAGTAAAAACTATTTGAACAGCAGCACGCATGTTTTTAAGAGAAATGTCGACCCGGTGTTTAAAGTTTACCGTCAAACACCAGAGAAAAAGGTAGGCCAACTGAGGAAGAAAACTGAGCAACAAAGATGAAAAGTTCAACAGTTTTTTAGCAAAACAAAAGATAAGATGTTGATTTACAGCCAGGAAATCTTTTGTTCCCTAGTGGTCAAAACCCAAGTGAGGCAGCTTTTGTTACTCTGAAGCTTTCAGAGTGGTTTAACATTTTGAAAAGGACACTGGTTGCCACCCTCCTTTTTGTGGAGCTGATACATGCACGCTGATACTGATGAAAAACAGTAACGTCCAGCGTTCACATGTTGTGAGTCTTCGTGTGTGAGCTGAGGTGAGCGCTGCGAGAGAAGGTGCGCCCACAGACCTGGCAGGTGAATGGCTTGACGCCTATATGCAGGCGCTTTAGGTGGCTCCGTCTGATGAAGGCCATCCCACACAGACCTGGTTCCTCTCCCCAGTGTGACAGCCTGTGGCCTTTCATCATGCTTAGGAAAGGGAAACCCTTCCCACAGTAGTCACACTTGAAACGCCCAGGTGTCTGATACTGAACGCTCCTTCTCGTCTCAAACTGATGACTGTCTGAAGCATGCTGCTCATTTGAGGATAAATCAGTCATATTGTACGTTCTTACCATGTGCTGGTCTTCTTCTGGTTGTAAACTAGTCAAGCATGTTGGTGTTTGGGCGTCAAGCAGGGGGCCGCCCAAAGGTAACGCTCCAGATTCTTTGTACATCTGACACAGAATCCCTTTTTGGAGCTCGAGGCCCAGACTCACATCCTCACCCCGAGTCTGCAGGTCTGGACTCTCTACTTCTCTTTTAACATGAAATTCTAGATCAGTGAACTGGTCTCCACTTGGTGATAAACTTAACCTGCACTCCATTTCCAAAGCCGGGTTGTGTTCTGTGTGTAGATCTTGGCTGGCTTCTGGAGTTTCATAGCAGAACTGTGAGCTCTGTCTAGCTGCATGTGCACAACACTCCCCAACCTGAGAGAAGCTGGCAGAGTGGAGAGGAGGTGCCACTGGAAAGAACAGCATGAGGCTATCACAGTCATTTAAAAACAACATCATATGAAATTGTTATTTTAGCTTAAACATTGTATGCTTACCTCTCAGTTTTGGTTGACCTTCAGGAACTTCCTCACATTTAACGGTAATGGGTTTAAAGTCTACAGAAGTAAAAGTTCTCTGTGGCACACAAGAAAACAGTGAATCATTATTGCTTTCCAATAATTACATCCTCTCCATCTACTAGTAGTTCAATACACAGTCACATCTGGTAAATGGTAAATGGCTGTAAAGCGCTTTTCTAGTCTTCTGACTACTCAAAGCGCTTTTAGACTTTGACTTAGACTTAGACTTAGACTTTCTTTATTGTCATTCAAACTTGTACTTTACAGTGCAGATAAGAACAAAATTTCGTTGCATTTGGCTCGTTGTAGTCCAGGATAAAAACAGCAGCATGTATTTACATATAAAAATAAAAATAAGGTGCAGATATAAATAGATATAAAAAGAAAAGCTATGAGTAAAATGACTATACAGATAAATATATTGCACGTTCTATTGTGTTTTACAGTCCAGTGAGGTAGTCCTGTGTGGGGGTTTGAGGGGGAATGGAGGGATTATTTTTTCGTGTTCAAAAGTCTTATGGCCTGTGGGAAGAAGCTGTTACAGAACCTGGAAGTTCTGCTTCAGAGGCTGCGGAACCTCTTTCCAGAGTCCAGCAGTGAAAACAGTCCTTGGTGGGGGTGGGAGGTGTCTCTGCTGATTTTCTGAGCCCTGGTCAGACAGCGGATCTTTGCGATCTCCTGGATGGGAGGAAGTGGAGTCTGAATGATCTTTTCCGCCGTCCTCACCACTCTCTGCAGAGACTTCCAGTCGGAGGCACTGCAGGCTCCGGACCAGACAGAGATGCAGTTTGTTATGATGCTCTCTATAGTACCTCTGTAGAAGGTGGTGAGAATAGGAGGAGGGAGGTGTGCTCTCTTCATCCGACGCAGAAAGTGCATGTGCTGCTCCGGTGTGAAGGGACCAGGTCAGAGTGTCTGTTATCTGCACCCCCAGGAACTTTGTGCTGCTAACTCTCTCCACTGCTGTGCCGTTGATGAGGAGTGGTGTGTGGCTGGGCTGGCGCCTCCTGAAGTCGACGATGATCTCTTTGGTTTTATCGACGTTCAGGGCCAGGTTGTTGGTTCTGCACCAGTCAACCAGATGTTTCACCTCCTCTCTGTAGTCCATGTCGTTGTTGTCACGGATGAGGCCCACTACTGTTGTGTCGTCTGCAAACTTCACAATGTGGTTAGTAGTGGACCTGGCGCAGCAGTCATGGGTCATCAGGGTGAACAGCAGCGGACTCAGGACGCAGCCCTGAGGGGAGCCGGTGCTCAGGGAGATGACACTGGAGGTGTTGTTGCCCACCCGCACAGACTGGGGTCTGTTTGTGAGGAAGTCAAGCAGCCAGTTACATAGGGGGGTGCTGAAACCAAGGGGGGCCAGTTTGCTCACCAGATGCTGCGGGATGATTGTACTGAACGCCGAGCTGAAGTCCAGAAACAACATCCGCACATGTGTGTCCTTCTCTTCCAGATGTTGTAAGCCCAGGTGGAGTGCAGAGGAGATGGCATCCTCTGTGGAGCGGTTTGGGCGGTAAGCAAACTGGTACGGGTCGAATGTGGGGGGAAGTCTGGAGACAATGTGGTCCTTTACCAGCCTCTCAAAGCATTTCATCATGATGGGGGTTAGTGCTACAGGGCGGTAATCATTGAGCGAGGAGATTGTGGATTTTTTAGGCACTGGTATAATTATGGCAGTCTTTAAACATGATGGTACCACAGCCTGGATCAGCGAGGTGTTGAAGATGTCTGTGAGAACCCCAGCCAGCTGGTCAGCACATTCCTTAAGCACCCGTCCCGGTATGTGGTCAGGGCCCGCTGCTTTCCGGGTGTTCTCCTCAGGGTTCTCCGGACATCAGGGTAAATAAAAAGGCCTGCCAGTCAGTAGTTCTACATCAGGAGAGCAGTGACTTGAGACTATCTCACCGTTGTTGCACCAGTTGTTGTTAATGTATATGCAAACACCGCCGCCTCTGGATTTACCAAGGCGGAGGATTTTACACTGCAGGTCACACCTACACATTCACACACTGATGGTAGAGGCTGCTGTGTAAAGAGTCCATTCACACGCTGCAGAAGAAGCAGTGAGAGCAACACAGGGTTGAGTGTCTTAAGACTGGATAGAAGGGATTTATACAATTGAGCAACAAACACAGTGACATGTTGTTTTTCTTTTGTCAGAACATTTTATGTATTGATTGCTGTGCAATATTAACCTTAAAAACAAAAAACAGTGTCATTACATAATGTGAAAAATATGTGTACAATAAGCTCAGATGCAATAAGAGATGTAGAAAGTAGAGACAAGAAAACATATTTATATTTTCATTTCATTGTAGTGTTCCCCTTTGTTATTTTTTTGTATTATATCTTTGCTTTAATACAGTGTATAGCTTCTGTACAGTTTATTTTAAATTACTTAGCTGTTACTACAACTTTTTAATTTATTTTATTTGTACTTTTCTACTCTTTTTCTCTTTATAATGCTATTCTATTTTATATATCATTTACATTTTTTTGTAGAAGCTGACTCAGGGAGAAATGCACAAAAATTCCAATGTACCTGTACTGTCCTGTACCTGTGCAAATGGAAATAAACATCTATACTATTCTATGTTGAGATGTAAAGAACAATTCAACAAGTACAACGACATGTGCTATTGGCTATCCCATTGTAAAGCATTTGTTGCAAAGGTAAAATAAATGTATTATATGATGCAAAACAAATATAAGAGTATGAACAT